CTTTTAACAGTATTCCAGTTATATCACGGCGTGTCAGCTTAATGTGGGAGGAAATCCCGAAGTGATGCAGGTCTCAGACGTTTACTACTTCGGTGAAACCCACGGGCATGGGTATGGTGCTGACAAACCTAGAAACGTAATCGGGGCGAACCGGGATTCGAACCCACAATCATAGATTTCTGGCTCGCCCAAGGGACGCAACTCTGCACAGCGAATCGCGGCGCCTTAGACGACTGGCCCACCCGTGCCCCGATGGATAGCTTAGAGCCATAAGGGCCAATGTCATGTGGAGTCCTTTATAATGAAAACCATAACCATATGCCTGCTAATGAACATTTTGTATTCACCGATAAATTCCTAAACTTTAGCACATTCTGACAGCAGGCATATAAATGTTGCTATAAAAACATTCAAAAAAGGAAATAAACTTTCGTTTTTAATTTGTGTAAGGGTGGAAAGAGCCAATGTCTGTATTTTGTCCCTTTTTACCCTTAGGCATTTGCATTGGATTTAACATGTGAGATTGATTAAACTACTACTGAAAGTATAAACACACACTATTGAAGCTCTTTTAAATGATTTAAACTAATGCAAACTTTGTTGAAATGGTTGAAACATAATAATAATGTTTCCAAACTTTCAAAAACTCCAGTTTCAACCACACACGGAAATGAGAGCTAAAAGGGCCAACAGCTAGCAAAGTGACTTTTGCCATTTGGGAACTTGACTTTGGCCTTATTACAGAATTTTAAATCGCTATATTTCAAAAAACTTATCAATGAAGACAAAAAAAATAATTCTGCAACTAGACAGGAACTCATAGATGTTATTAATGCAATAATATGCCCTTTTGGCTCTAAGTTCTTCAGTGAAAGATAGCTGTCACGATCGCACATTTTGTTTGTGGTGACAGTCTTAATGAAAGTGGGAAGTCCGCACAATGAAGATTGTGGTAGTCTAAGAGTAGTGGCATATTTTGTTGATCAGATTCTGAATTTGTTCTTCTCAACACTGGGAAAATGACCGGAGTTGGTCTTGTTGATCTCCTCTTGATCTGCATTCGCATCTTCCACATTAGCAGGCAAATTTAAATGTAATCATTATTGGAATGTGTTTCATGACGATCCTTTGAGAAGTGGTCATTACCTTGTTTTTACAGAAATACAAATTAACCCTTTCAGAGGCAGTACGAACTATTAGCCTCGTTGGAAATTTAAATGAGCAAAATGCCCTGACTACTCTGAATTATATATGCAATGAAGGAAATTGATCTGATTTCATTAATGATGATATTCACACTGCTAATGCCTGTGTTTCTTCGGAGATCATTACAACTGCTGAAGAATAAGTTCTAAACCATGGTTTAATGAAGAACGCGAAAGGGAAAACATTGCTCGTAAAACCGCAAACAATACAGTCCACTTTATATCCTTGCCAGCAAATCTGGAATTATTCGTAAGAAACGTGCATAATTCCAACAGATGGTTCGCACATGTAGAATTTAGCAGACATTCATATCGAATATTAAGCGAGTTTCTCTGCCTTCCCCTGTGTGGTCGAGAGTTAAAAACGTAAGTGGCAGCTGTAATTGTAGCCAATACCAGTCGTGGGTGCAAATAATGATATGATCAATTTACTTGTTGATTAATTGAAAAAGTCAATTGTTCTGACAATATCCGTGATACATTTAGGCAGCCGAGGGTATATTCGAAAAGGCATGTGAACCTGATATCCTATCAATGCGCAATGTGCGATTTCAGTTGTGGTTACAATGCACCCATCTCTGCTGATGAACCCTAACAGATCAGCTGTTGGATAGGCATTACTTAGAAGTTGACGGATGACAAAGTAGACACAATTTATGGACAACAACTTCTTTCTACTTTAAAGGCGACATTTCGGTATAGATCCTTATACCGTTGTCAGGCAAGACTGAATGATGAACATGGTACAGAATATATATAGTGGTGGAGGATTAACAGACAGCAAAACAGCCATCTCGAACCATATCAGTAACTGTCCTAATCACAACATCAACTGGGACAACGTCCAAATCCTCTGCAACAATCTCCATGACTTCACTAAAAGAAAACTAACAGAAGCTATCCACATTCGCCACCACAAGCCATCAATCAACAGAGATCAATGCTACATGTATTTCATCCAATCCGTCTACTACGAGCCCATTAAGCAATAATCACCACACCTATGTAAACTTATCCTGTTTATTTGGCTTCCCCCTATGTGTTCTCCGTCCATCATGTTGTGACAGTATTATCCTTCTGTTGTCATAACCTACTCATGTTATCCCACTCATGTATGCAATTGTTGTTACTGTTTATCCTCCACCACTTTAAATATTCTGTACAATGTCCCCCATTCAGTCTTGCTTGACAACGGCATAAGGATCTATACCGAAACGTCGCCTTTACAGCATTAAAGAAGTTGTTATCCATAAATAGTGGCTACTTTGAATGTAAGAATACGTCCCCCGGGGATGACAGTGAATGTCAAGAATTGTTAAAACATTTGCAATAGATATATGTAGTGACTGTGCAGAATATAACACGTGTGACTGGGCAAACTGTATGCCACCGTTTGGAATGGGCACTCTGAAGATATCAATACTTCACAAGGTGCATAATGCTGATCTGAACAACTCTATGCCACTTTTACAATCCTTGTGATAGTGCCTTCTTACACCCGGAACGTGTACAGGTCTAAATTCCATAGTCTATAAAGGTATGAATACATTTAGAAGTATTTTCACTTCGCACATGCTGAGGACATTTGAAACAACGGAGCTCCTTGGGCATACTGGATCGCAGACCTGGTATTTCGTCTCGATCACCTTTCCGTGTCTGCTGCTGACTTCATTGCTATTCTCCAGACGCTCAACTGGCTTAATGACAACAGCAAGGCTGTGATTATTACCGACTCCGAGGCAGCTGTACGTGCTATTGGATCTGGAGCAACTGGATGTACAATTAACATTTTGCATGACATCTTAAGATTGGACTCTGTTCCCAACTCTCAGTGTGTATCATGCGACCATGGATCTCAGCCCATGTTGGGATAGAAGGTAACAAAATGGCAGGCAAGGCTTCGACTGGGTCACTGTGGTCACGGTGTTCATCATAGTAGTTTAGATAATGATGGCTCTCCTCTGAAGTCATTGTAATGATCAGGTAAGCGAGACTGTTAACCACTATATTTCAGAATGTTCTGCTCGCAGCAGAGTTAGACAATACATAAAAAAATATCTATATCCTCGACACTGGGCCTTAATCCCGTGCACGGGTCAATTCAACAACAAGCAGTGCAAGAGTTTGTTCAGCAATCTGGTAAATATGAGGTAATCTGATCAGGCAATTATTTTAACTGTTTTTATTGTTCTATAATCGGATCTTGTGCAGTTTTATTGATCTCCAAAATGAGTGGCTCTCTCCTGCGGTTTACTAAATCTTCTGGCAGGTGCTATTTATTGTCAATATACTTAACAATTGATATTCTAACTATTTCATTGCAGGTATTCCTTCTTCTTCAAGTAACTTCTGATATCAGGGGTTATGTATCTGAGATTATATATCGTCAGTCATCTATATGTAGAAAAAGAGCCTAGAGTGGCGGCCATAAACACGGGGTGTCTCAGGATCATCAACATCACAGGCTGGTATGAACGTCTCAGGAACATCAACATCACAGGCTGGTATGGACGTCTCAGGAACACCAACATCACAGGCAGGTATGGAGGTCTCAGGAACATCAACATCACAGGCTGGTATGGACGTCTCAGGAACATCAACATCACAGGCAGGTATGGACGTCTCAGGAACATCAACATCACAGGCCGGTATGAACGTTTTAGTAACATCTACATCACAGGCTGGTATGAACGTCTCAGGAACATCAACATCACAGGCTGGTTTGGACGTCTCAGGAACATCAACATTACAGGCAGGTATGAACGTTTTAGGAACATCAACATCACAGGCCGGTATGGACGTTTCAGGAACATCAACATCACAGGCTGGTATGAACGTCTCAGGAACATCAACATCACAGGCTGGTATGGACGTCTCAGGAACATCAACATCACAGTTTGGTATGAACGTTTTAGGAACATCAACATCACAGGCTGGTATGGACGTCTCAGGAACATCAACATCACAGTTTGGTATGGACGTTTTAGGAACATCAACATCGCAGGTAGGTATAAACGTCTCAGGAACATCAACATCACAGGCTGGTATGGACGTCTCAGGAACATCAACATCACAGGCTGGTATGAACGTCTCAGGAACATCAACATCACAGGCAGGTATGGACGTCTCAGGACCATCAACATCACAGGCAGGTATGAACGTTTTAGGAACATCAACATCACAGGCAGGTATGAACGACTCAGGAACATCAACATCGCAGGCAGGTATAAACGTCTCAGGAACATCAACATCACAGGCTGGTATGGACGTCTCAGGAACATCAACATCACAGGCAGGTATGAACGTCTCAGGAACATCAACATCACAGGCAGGTATGGACGTCTCAGGAACATCAACATCACAGGCAGGTATGAACGTTTTAGGAACATCAACATCACAGGCAGGTATGAACGTTTTAGGAACATCAACATCACAGGCTGGTATGGACGTCTCAGGAACATCAACATCACAGGCAGGTATGAACGTCTCAGGAACATCAACATCACAGGCTGGTATGAACGTCTCAGGAAAACCAACATCACAGGCTGGTATGAACGTCTCAGTAAAACCAACATCACAGGCTGGTATGAACGTCTCAGTAAAACCAACATCACAGTCTGGTATGGACGTCTCAGGAACATCAACATCACAGGCTGGTATGGACGTCTAAGGAACACCAACATCACAGGCTGGTATGGACGTCTCAGGAACATCAACATCACAGGCTGGTATGGACGTCTCAGGAACACCAACATGACAGGCTGGTATGGACGTCTCAGGAACATCAACATCACAGGCTGGTATGGACGTCTCAGGAACACCAACATCACAGGCTGGTATGGACGTCTAAGGAACACCAACATCACAGGCTGGTATGGACGTCTCAGGACTTCAACATCACATGTTGGCATTGACGTCTCAGGAACATCCACATCACAGCCTGGTGTAGGATGTCTCCGGAACACCAACATCACAGCCTGGCATGGGTCGTCTCAGGAACACCAACATCACAAATGGGTATGTGACGTCTCAGGAGTATCTACAGTAATAAATTGAAAACAGTATTTGTCTTGATTTCGTCATAATAATTTAGGTAGTCTAGTGGTTAAAGCGTTCACTCGTCACGGCGAGGACCCGTGTTCTATTACAACATGGGTACGTGCAAAGGCCAATCTTGGTGCCCCGATCGTGAAACTGGAACGATAATGTTAATAAAAGGCGTGATAGTTATAACTATTCTCTCAACCTGATTTGAACTTTACATTTTTATAATTATAACAGATTCAAATAAGGCATCATCAGTGTACGTCCTCGTTGATAACATTATCCCCCTGCCATTACCACCCACTCCCTCTACCTTTCTCCTTCCTCTGCACTGTGCGGGTGAAGGCATACAGGGCCTTACTTGTTTGCTATTGGTGCTGCTGAATCCAGAGCCACGACTCCAGTGCCCAGTTGTATGTAAGAGTTATTTTGAACACGGGAAGGCGACCAGAACTGTAGCGAGTAGCTGGCTAATATCTTAGCTTTTTTCTCCCCAGCACAGGAACGAGAGACATCTGATTCAATGTTGTTTCTGAGGCAGTACAGATGTGGTAATGGTAATCAGATTGTGTTAGTGTTTAAACCTACCACAGCTGAATGTTGGATTTATGTGACCCCTGTCCACGGTTGCTATGCTGACCACGTGTCTGCCATTGTTGCCGGGACAGGAGCTGTCGATGAAGTTCTTCTCCTCGTCCGGCCAGTGCAGTTCTATGAACATGGTGTACACCAGCCAGGCCAACACAGCACCCACCATCGGGCCAGCCACGGGAACCCAGAACCAATTGTAGTCCCGGAACCTGGAACAGTCCTAGAGGTTGTCTGCTCACATATCCTTCATGTATATTCAGTGGTATAAGACGACGCAAATTGCATCCTCTGGCCGCGCCAGGATCCGATAAGTATGGGTTCGAATCTAATTATATTTTTCTCGATTATGACCCAGTCTTTAAGCTGTCAGCCCCATACATGTGGTTTCACCAAAGTGGTAAACGTGCAAGACATGCCTCACTTTGGGTCTTCCTCCCACGTCAAGCTGTCAAGTTGTCAAGCTGTCCGTCAATGAGGGGGATGGCCACGCGAAAAATACAATATATATTTGTTTGCTCTGGATATCATGCCTTGTTGCTGTCGGACAGACCGCCTAACACACAGAGACCGAGATTTGTTATCATGACATTGAAATAAAAAACACACACATTTTCACATTCACAAAAAACATATGAGAATCGAAATGTAACAGGTGGGTGATAGCATAAGCATCGTGGAAACGTAATCGGTTATAACGAACTCAAAGGGACCACTAATTTTAGTTCGTTACAACCGTAGTTCGTTATAAGTATATATACGGCATAACTACAGCATATAGTCGGAACCAAAAAGTAAGTTCGTTATACCCGTCAGTTCGTTATAAGCGTGTTTGTTATAAACGTAGTTTACTGTATTTCATAAACATAGTAAATATGTGTTTTTTTCTTTTTGAAAACAACCAGAAACCGTTTTGTTGTTGTACTTTGAAATCAGTCCTTAACAATGCACGTGACACAGGAACAACACAGACATGGCTGTTATACCGACCCGGTGTTGGGTAGTATACATACTTCAGGTGACTTAATCACTTTGGGTTTCATGCTAAATCGCACAGAAATATCAATAGTTGCATTTCAGAGATATCTGGACGGTGTACCATGTCCAGCGTGTAAATTGTTTGAGACATTTAATCCTGAAGGTGTCATACTTTCATGTTTGGCTGGAGTAAGTACAATATGACCGAAACAGAACCGCCAGTATCAGTCAGGAAGTAACTTACGTGAAAGGATCTGACCCCCATCCGGCTATAGCGGTAAACAATCTCGGACCGAGGTCCCTCGCCGGGTTGATGGCGTAGCCACAGTTGAGGGCGAAGCAGGTTCCCATGCCCAGCATGATGGAGCCGAGAGCGACGGGGAGAAAGCCGTCGCTAGGCGCCATGTTGCGTCTGTCTGTGATGGCCAACACACAACCCAGAAGGATGAACGTGCCGAATACCTGAAACGTAGAATTCAGCAATGGGAGCGTGGCCATTCAACTCTCACATTCGTTCTCATCCATATATATATACAAGTCTCACAAAGCACTACACACATATGTGCCTCTAATCTAGGATCACAATAAAGACTGCTTTATTAAATGAGCGATTTTGGGACGTATTACAGCTATATCATGGCGACTTACAGACCCCCTATGAAGATCCGGGTTAGAATAGGTCTTCAGCAACCCATGCTTGCCATAGAAGGCGACTTTGCTTGTCGTAAGAGGCGACAAACGGGATCGGGTGGTCAGGCTCGCTGACTTGGTTGATGCATGTCACCGTATCCCAATTGCGTAGATCGATGCTCATGATGTCAATCACTAGATTTGTCTGGTCCAGACTCGAATATTTACAGACCGCCGTCATATAGCTGGAATATTGCTGGGTGCGGCAAAACTTACAGAGCAACCAGGGCCCCTTTCATATTGATGTTCGAGTTGCCCTCTTAGGCTACGACAGACGTAACTTACATACTTTTACACAGGTCCACTGTAGTCTGTAGCACCCTGTTAAACGGGGCCGGAACAGTATCCAGGTTGCAGACCGTTAATGTTAATGTAGTATCCATCCACAATCAGCATCCATGCTAGCCACCTAATCCCCTTTATCCCACCTCTTAACACAGTGTATTAGGTGGATTACTCTTCAGCGGATTTCACATATGGGAAAATAGAGAACGGTGTTTTAGATAAAAAGGCACGTCTTTAGTGCAAACGATGATAATTATAAGTCCATTTATAAAGCGCCAAATTACATCCACCAACTGTTTGCTTGTTACAAGCACCTAAACCAATCTTAGCTCACCTGATCGAAAAAGCAGCTTGCAGTAGACACGTACGGCTGCGGATACGTGGCAAATATCCCGGCAGTAGCTGTGGGGCCTGTGGTTGATCTCAGGCCGCCATCGTAGTTGTTCAGGGCATCTGGTTGCAAACAGTACTACAGTTTACAGCATAACTCGGTGGACTTGTACAACACGTCACGTATATCATTCCTTCACTACTAGACGTTGATCACACTGGAGTGAGTGAGTTGGATTTAACGCCGCTTTTAACAGTATTCCATATTATACCGCGTGTCATATCACGGCGTGTCAGCTTAATGTGGGAGGAAAGCCCGAAGTGATGCAGGTCTCAGGCGTTTGCCACTTCAGTGAAACCCACGAGCACGGGTATGGCGCTGACAAATCTAGAAACATAATCGGGACGAACCGGGATTCGAACCCACAATCATAGATTTCTGGCGTGCCCAAGGGACGCAACTCTGCACAGCGAATCGCGGCGCCTTAGACAACTGGGCCACCCGTGTCCCCCACTCTGCCTGGAAGTACCACTTACACAAACCATTGCGTAGATCGATGGTCATGAAGTCAATCACAGGATTGCCTGGTAAAGACTCGAATGTTTATAGACCGGTGGAATATTGCTGAGTGCGGCGTTAAACAACAAACAAACAAATAAGCTTACAGTCTCACCAAAGTAAAGCAGATACTGCACCGCCGCAGCAAGGAAGGACCCTCCTAGGTTGGCCATAGTGTAGAAGGGCCACTTGTACCAGGGGATGACACCTCGTAGACACAACGCCATGGTGACGGCGGGGTTCAGGCACCCCCCTGAAACACCATATTAGGTACCAAGTGAGAACATGACAGATGCTTTGGACACTGAAATACAGTAAGAATGATGGAAGGGATTGCACTTGTTGCGGGTAGATAATGCTTGATCTTTGAGACCATCTGGACCATCTGGCAATTGAATGATAACGTGTATGCTAGGAGTGCGTTCAATATGATCATTCACACAACCATATTTGTTCCTAGCTTAATTTTTTAATATTTTTACTTCAATCTCGAAAATATCCTGCGTACAACTTATGTCAACTTCCTGACACCCCTCCAGACCAGTAGATACCAAGCATGAGACCCAACTGACTTACCTGACACCCCTCCAGACCAGTAGATACCAAGTGTGAGACCCAACTGACTTTCCTGACACCCCTCCAGACCAGTAGATACCAAGTGTGAGACCCAACTGACTTTCCTGACACCCCTCCTGACCAGTAGATACCAAGTGTGAGAACCGTGTCGCCTACCTGACACCCCTCCAGACCAGTAGATACCAAGTGTGAGACCCAACCGACTTTCCTGACACCCCTCCAGACCAGTAGATACCAAGTGTGAGAACCGTGTCGCCTACCTGACACCCCTCCAGACCAGTAGATACCAAGTGTGAGAACCGTTTCGCCTACCTGACACCCCTCCTGACCAGTAGATAGCAAGTGAGAGAACCGTTTCGCCTACCTGACACCCCTCCTGACCAGTAGATACCAAGTGTGAGAACCGTGTCGCCTACCTGACACCCCTCCAGACCAGTATATACCAAGTGTGAGAACCGTGTCGCCTACCTGACACCCCTCCAGACCAGTAGATACCAAGTGTGAGACCCAACTGACTTTCCTGACACCCCCCCCTGACCAGTAGATACCAAGTGTGAGAACCGTGTCGCCTACCTGACACCCCTCCTGACCAGTAGATACCAAGTGTGAGACCCATGTCACCTACCTGACACCCCTCCAGACCAGTAGATACCAAGTGTGAGACCCAACTGACTTTCCTGACACCCCTCCTGACCAGTAGATACCAAGTGTGAGAACCTTGTCGCCTACCTGACACCCCTCCAGACCAGTAGATACCAAGTGTGAGACCCATGTCACCTACCTGACACCCCTCCAGACCAGTAGATACCAAGTGTGAGACCCATGTCGCCTACCTGACACCCCTCCTGACCAGTAGATACCAAGTGTGAGACCCATGTCACCTACCTGACACACCTCCAGACCAGTAGATACCAAGTGTGAGACCCATGTCACCTACCTGACACCCCTCCAGACCAGTAGATACCAAGTGTGAGACCCATGCCGCCGGCGAAGCTGACGGACAGGTAACTGGACAGTTCCTGGCGGCTGAGGACATACTGGGCCCCGGATGCTATTGCGAAGGTCTACAGCGCCAAGATGGACAAACAGAAACATGTTTATAGACCAGGAATTAAGCCAAACTTCAATTAAACCTTACCGAGTAGTAGAGAAAGGTTTACTTAGTGATATTAGTTCCGTATATATTCCCACCCCTCTAATGTAGATACCAAGTGCATTAAAGTTGATATTTTGTCACCCCCTCAAAATCGTTTATGCATTGTCAATGATTAAAAGAAATACATCAAATTTGTTATTTAGATTGGCAGGTTTTGAAAATGTTTCGTTCCCTCATGTTCTTGGCGTTGTTGTTGGAATGAGAAATGTATGAAGACCAAGCCTACTTCACAAAAGGAACACATTCCGTCTGGGTTGAAGTTCCGGTTGGTGCGCATCAAACACGTCAGTGGAATAGTTGTATGACCATGGTGTCTAGAGTGAGTGAGTGAGTATGGTTTTACGCCACTTTTAGCAATATTCCAGCAATATCACGGCGGGGGACACCAGAAATGGGCTTCACACATTGTTCCCATGTCGGGAATCGAACCCGGGTCTTCGGCGTGACGAGCGAACGCTTTAACCACTAGGCTACCCGACCGCCCCTGGTGTTTAGAAATATTAAGTTCGGGAGTGTTGTTCATATTAATCATTTAAAGACGTTGGGCTATATTTTCTGATGTACTAACAAAAGCTAAAGTTTTACTAATAATGATTACATTTGTGGTACTCCCTATGGAATGTCACTTTAAAGGCAAAAATCGTGGTCTTTGCAAAAGAGTATTTTCAACAGGAAGCAAGATATCCGAGCCGTTACTGATTTAGGTAACTTTTCTAAGTTTTGTTAAGGTTTTAGTATTGATTAACAATGACAGCAGCTGAGCTGATATTAAAATAATCCCGTCAGCTGAAACATTTTCACATACCACAATGTATTCATATCACAGCACAAATAGAGAGTTAAACTCCAGTAGAACATTATTCATATTGGAAACAAAGACAGGCAATGCATTCTCATTTTCAAGAATGAATCTGTACAGCATATTAAATTTATTCCATGCTTAAAAAACGCCAAAAATTTACAATATATTTATTTTGGATAATCGCAAAGTACTTACCACGAGAATAAATGTCCCCCAAAACTCAGCAATTATCTGTCTTGCCAGTTCATTTTTTATTTGCAGCTTTTTCTTTAAAGTCATCATATATTACGGTCGTTATCCAGTATGGAAGTAAACAGTGCAAACCGCTGTCACGTACGTCCTCGACCCGTGGTTGTTGCTGTGTGTAGGGCCGGCTGCTATATCCTTGCTGTGATGTAATTGAGATGAGCCTTGGCAACATACATCATACAGATCAGTCCACGACCTATCAAGTAACGGGGATATTAACGGCGCATCAGCGTTCAGTGGGTCAATGATATGCTAATTAACAATGATTTTCTGTCACTCATACTTTGTGATTAAACTTTCTGTTGTTTATGAGTGTCCACTTTGTTCGACAGCTGGTTAACACTTCTGTTGTCTTTGAGTGGATGAGATTAATGTGTTTAGGGGTGAGGTGAAATGGGGTTTAACGTCGCGTTCAAAAATATTACACTTGTGTAGAGAAGACGGAATAGTGGGACAAGGAACGCGCTTAGGTTTGTATTGAATAGCTAAACATATTGTTAGAGTGCAGATGCACCTGATTATACAGGGTATGCATCTACTCTCTGAACAGAAACAACCTCCCTGTACTAAGCACAGACTCTGTAACCTGCACTATCGTCGCCATCTTAATTTCTAGATTTTGAGGCACCATTAGCGGTACACTTTTCAACTAAGTGTGATCCCCACTTCATTTAGGACCCGTTAAGATCCGGGGTAGAGTAGGTCTTCAGCAAACCATGCTTGCCATAAAAGGCGACTATGCTTGTCGTAAGAGGCGACTAACGGGATCGGGTGGTCAGGCTCGCTGACTTGGTTGATGCATGTCATCGATCCCAATTGCGTGGATCGATGCTCATGATGTCAATCACTGCATTGTCTGGTCCAGACTCGATTATTTACAGATCACCGTCATATAGCTTGAATATTGCTGAGTGCGGCGTTAAACAACAAATAAAGAAACAAACAAACATAACTTCATTTGGAGGGGAGGTCATACGAGGTATTACAGTTGTATAACGACATACATGCATGTGCGTTTGCGTGCTTGTACTAGTCCTGACTAATGCCGATTGTAAATTGCTGGCCCACTGAGATACCATTCCGCAGTTTAACATGGATACCCTACTCAGACCAGTCCTTGTTTTATCCCTTTAATGCCGAGCGCCAAAAGAGTAACAGCAAGTACCATCTTTTTATGTCTTTTGTTATGCCGAGGCTGGGGATCGAACCATCAACCCTCCGCTCTCTGGACGGACGCTCTATCCACTACATCACGGAGGCGGGCAACTTGTACAGATGATAGCCGTGATTCACCAGGTGGTGTGTAGGTACCAGGTTTGTTTGTTGCTTAACGCCGTGCTCACCACTATTCAAGCTACATGGCATCTTCCCGAGGCAAGAGAGTTAACTGACTATAAAAGTCCAGTTTCCACCCTTGCCGAACTAGGCTGGTATTATGGAGTTACATTTTGGCTGGACTAACGAGTCTATGCATAGTCAAATCAAAATCGCGCACCGAAATCGAAATCCGGTTCGTACACTGTCGTGCAGATTTCGATCGATTGCAGGATTTGCAAAGCATTTGCACCGCCAAGTCGTGGTCAACAGATATTTTCTAAATCTTTTCATGTTTTTAATCAAGGTGCTTACGTGATTTGATGCATTTCGCGATGTAAGACCCGTTTTATCACAATCTTGACCTTGATTATCGATCAGATCGTCCTGACTGGGCGCCACCATTTTGTGTGAAGCAAACGCAAGTGATGGAATCTCATTGGTCCATAGGAGAGGCTTAAAAGGGAAATAACTGGTAATTGCCACTGGCCTAGTTCGGCAAGGGTGGAAACTGGACTTTTAAAGTCAGTTTACTCTCTTGCCTCGGGAAGATGGCTACATGGCGGCTGTAAGTAAATGCAAACGAGTGATTGATATTATGACTTACGATCCACGCGGACTGGGTACGATGACATGCTATCAACCAAGCCTGACCACTCCATACAGTAAGCCACTTACGGCCAGCACAAGCGTCTTGGGGGCAATTCTAGCGTTGAATCCCCAAGGGTCAAAACCAAACACTGAGGTGGAAACACACATATACTCCACAGCCAACACCATGTGTAAGCAGTGTGTGATGCGTCTGTGAAGATATACTTGTCAAAGGAGTTCCTAGATGAAAAAACTGGGATCATGGTGTTTTATAGGGTGAAGGTTGGGGTAACATGTCATTGCCCGCAATGAATGTAAACTCGTAAAGAAGTTGGTGTCATAATAATGTATTTCAGTAAAATACCTAAAAGTAATGTCTGAGATTAAGGTAGCGGCATTACAACATAGTATTGTTCAGGGTGGATATAGGGGTCATAGTATCGTTCAGGATGGATATAGGAGGTCATAGTATTGCTCAGGATGATATAGGGGGGTCATAGTATTGTTCAGGATGGATGTATGGGTCATAGTACTGTTCAGGATGGATATAGGGGTCATAGTATCGTTCAGGGTGGATATAGGGGGGTCATAGTATTGTTCAGAATGGATATATGGGTCATAGTACTGTTCAGGGTGGATATAGGGGGTCATAGTATGGTTCAGGATGGATATAGGGGGTCATAGTATTGTTCAGGATGGATATAGGGGTCATAGTATCGTTCAGGGTGGATATAGGGGTCATGTTATTGTTCAGGATGGAAATAGGGGTCATATTATGGTTCAGGATGGATATAGGGGGGTCATAGTATTGTTCAGGATTGCTACAGGGGTCATAGTATCGTTCAGGGTGGATATAGGGGTCATGTTATTGTTCAGGATGGATATAGGGGGTCATATTATGGTTCAGGATGGATATAGGGGTAATAGTATCGTTCAGGGTGGATATAGGGGGTCATAGTATGGTTCAGGATGAACATAGGGGTCATAGTATCGTTCAGGGTGGATATAGGGGGTCATTTTATTGCTCAGGGTGGCTATAGGGGCCATAGTATTGTTCAGGGTGGCTAAAGGGGCAAAAGTATTGTTCAGGATGGATATAGGGGTCATAGTATTGTTCAGGATGGATATAGGGGGTCATATTATGGTTCAGGATGGATATAGGGGTAATAGTATCGTTCAGGGTGGATATAGGGGGTCATAGTACTGTTCAGGATGAATATAGGGGTCATAGTATCGTTCAAGGTGGATATAGGGGGTCATTTTATTGCTCAGGGTGGATATAGGGGCCATAGTATTGTTCAGGGTGGCAATAGGGGCCATAGTATTGTTCAGGGTGGCTATAGGGGCCAAAGTATTGTTCAGGGTGGCTATAGGGGCCAAAGTATTGTTCAGGCTGGCTATAGGGGTCATAGTATTGTTCAGGCTGGCTATAGGGGTCATAGTATTGTTCAGGCTGGCTATAGGGGTCATAGTATTGTTCAGGCTGGCTATAGGGGTCATAGTATTGTTCAGGCTGGCTATAGGGGTCATAGTATTGTTCAGGCTGGCTATAGGGGTCATAGTATTGTTCAGGCTGGCTATAGGGGTCATAGTATTGTTCAGGCTGGCTATAGGGGTCATAGTATTGTTCAGGCTGGCTATAGGGGTCATAGTATTGTTCAGGATAGATATAGGGGTCATAGTATTGTTCAGGCTGGCTATAGGGGTCATAGTATTGTTCAGGCTGGCTATAGGGGTAATAGTATTGTTCAGGCTGGCTATAGGGGTCATAGTATTGTTCAGGATGGACATATGGGGTCATAGTATTGTTCAGGATGGACATAGGGGGGTAATAGTATTGTTCAGGATGGATATAGGGGGTCAGATTATTGTTCAGGATAGATATAGGGGTCAGAGTATTGTCCAGCGTTGCCTGTGAATGTAAGTGTATCACTGTATGGTCCGAAAGGCCTTCATGATGAATATAGATTGGGTGTTTCCACTATCGACTGTCATAAAGCCATTGTGGTTATGATAAGATAGATGGGCTAGGGACACGAGGTTTAAGGTTGTGAACTGGTTGACCCGGTCACTGATGAAAACAGAAGAAAAACGCGACAGGCAATGTCCCCAGTGTGACCAGAACATATATCCTATTATACAAAACACGCCTGTCAACAGCAGCGACCAGGAGATATAGCGTGCTTGTCTCTGTGACAGATACCGATATTAATTGATGAAAACGTATTGATCAGAGTATTAAAGTAGAAAGTGGATTGGTGGCATACAAGTACTTAATATGGCCGACAAACTGCCGGCGTGACTTTATATTTTTTATCTGACTCACACAGACGTTCAGTAAGGAGAGAAATAAAAATAAGGAATCACATTTTTTCGGAGTGTCTTGCAAATAATGCGCTCTTGCAAATAATGCGAAAGTATATATACTATTCAATACAGGCCACTCGGTATTACATGGCGCGTTTGTTGTATAACGCCGCACTCAGCTAACAGACCTTCCGCTCTCTGGACGGACGCTCTGTCCACTAGACCACGGAGGCCGTTGACGTGTATAGATGGCCGTGATTCAGCAGATGGTGTGTAGATACCAGGTTTTGTTTGTTGCTTGACGCCGTACTCACTAATAGTACAGCTATAGGACAGCGGCCTGTATATAATCGAGTTTGAGCCTGACAGTCCCGTGTTGATATTATGAGCGTCCTACGCCGTCGGTGTACGACGACACGCAATCAACCAAGTCTCCCAACAACCCCATCAAATAGAGTCGCCTCTTACAAGCAGCAGGACCCGTGAAGATTCCGGGGTAGAATAGGTCTTCAACAACCAATGCTTGCCGTAAAAGGTGGCTATGCTTGTCGTAAAAGGCGACTAACGGGATCGGGTGGTCAGGCTCACTGACTTGGTTGATGCATGTCATCGATCCCAATTGCGTGGATCGATGCTCATGATATCAATCACTGGATTGTCTGGTCCAGACTCGATTATTTACAGACCGCCGCCATATAGCTGTAGTATTGCTGAGTGCGGCGTTAAACAACAAACCAACCAACCAACAAGCAGCAGATATATTTTATCCAAGGTCATAACGGGGTTTATTTTGTTTTAGCTCAACTATAAGAATGCTGTAATTCTACTGAATTTTCAAAAAACAATATTCAAATTGGTACATGAAGTCACATTTCCAAATGTATTATATATAGTAAAATGCCTTGTTTATATTTAGTTTTTACGGCTAGGGTGGCAGCACTATGACAATGTATGGTTAATGAACGGAATAGTTTGAGTGTGTACTTTGTTAAATACAACGGGTGACTGAAATAATGAGCCGCGCCCCGGGCGATTGGGGTGCAATGACACTTCACAGATTGTGACCATCGGATCCCCATTTTAGTCGACTTACGAGAGCAATTATGTCCTGACATGTTTCTGATGTGTTGTAAAAATGTAACAATCGTATATGCTTTGTTTGTTTGTTTGTTGTTTAACGCCGCACTCAGCAATATTCCAGCTACATGGCGGCGGTCTGTAAATAATCGAGTCTGGACCAGACAATGCAGTGATTGACATCATGAGCATCGATCCACGCAATTGGGATCGATGACATGCTTCAACCAAGTCAGCGAGCCTGACCACCCGATCCAGTTAGTCGCCTCTTACGACAAGCATAGTCGCCTTTTACGGTAAACATGGGTTGCTGAAGACCTATTCTATCCCGGATCTTCACGGGTCTAATCGTATATGCACAGGGCGGCGTCTTTACATATATGATAATACGTTAAGCGAATTGTCGATGTACATATATTGCCTGATTCATCAGTATCAAAGTGACTGAGGGTAAACATATACAAATTTTGTGTGTTCATCTTGACTCAGCTTGCCGTTACCAGACATAGTGTCCATATAAGTTCCTCAAAAGTAAGTGAGTTTGGTTTAACACTGAGCATTTTAGTTCCATGACGAGGTGTCTTCCAAACACTTTCCACAAACGTCAAAAGAGCTCACACACACACACACACACACACACACACACACACACACACACACACACACACACTTGAGTTAATGAGTTAATTGGGAAAATTTAACGGGAAAGAACTAATAAACGAGATCTGGACGTCAGGCTCAGTGACTTGGTTGATTGCATGCGGTATCCATATTGAAAGATCAGTGCTCGTGGTGTCAAGCACTGCATTGTCTGGTCCATACTAGATTATTTGCAGACAGATGTCATAACTCATGTCACTGAAATATTGCTCAGTGCCGCCTTAAGCAAGAAACAAACACTCAGCACTGACCGGATTAACATGGTTTCATATCACTACGATGTCTGAAATCTACAGGGTGTCGTCCCTTGTGAGCTGACATACCCCACTCACTAACTCATAGGTCATATCAGTGACTGCGGTTGAAAGAAGTTGTACAACATTATCAAGAGTTGGTTACGTCTTACAAAACACATAACCCAGAGAGAGTTGTCCCCCTTGCAAGACAAACTGATTATCAGAAAAACAGGCCGCCTCATGACTCCTCTGAGGCGTTTGTCACAGAGAGGTCGGAAAAACTGGATCTTAATTTGATTGAAAACAAATATGAATATCCACTGCACATTATACAGATATCAAATGTCACTTTACCATTTGCACAAAACGACAGGCTCAGAAGAAAGGGCCAGGCATAATAATGGTCCTTTTGGTCCACAAGAAAACTGAGTGAGTGAGTGAGTGAGTGAGTGAGTGAGTGAGTGAGTGAGTGAGTGAGTGAGTGAGTGAGTGAGTGAGTTGGGTTTAACATCGCTTTTAACAGTAACTGTGTGTCAGCTTCATGTGGGAGGAAAGCCCGAAGTGATGCAGGTCTCAGACGTTTACCACTTCGGTGAAACACACGAGCAGGGTTATGGTGCTGATAAACCTAGAAATATAATGGGGGAGAACCGGGATTCGAACCCACAATCATAGGTTTCTGGTGTGCCCAAGGGACGCAACTCTGCACAGCGAATCACGGTGCCTAGACGACAGGGTCACCCGTGCCCCCACAAGCAAACTCAAAAAAGGCCCAATAATAGCTATTAAAGTAATAGCTTATCCATATGACTAACACTTACGTTCATGCAAGTTTTGGACATAATGAAGTAAGATAGAATTGTTAGTTTATTTCAACTCACTTTTGATCAGTATTTGTGTGAGTTGGGTTCAACACAGCTATAACAGTATTCCAGGTATATCAGGATGTGTCAGCTCAATGTGGGAGGAAAGCCTTTAAACCATGGACCAACAGGGCACAACACAGAGATTCTTTTGAAAAAAATATTTTATCGAATGCCAGATTTCTCGTATAAATAACTGCAGACATAGCTGATTTCACAATTTTAAGTAATGACATGTTTCGTCCACTTTCTTCATAACACAAAACCTCTACTACATTGGAGAAAAAGTTCTCATAGACATTCTCTGATGTTCCATAAAAACCCAAACAAGTGCTTTTACACCACAGCTATCAACTATGAAGTGCTGCTGCAAAATGATATTCTACTGCTGCCATGGTTATACTGAAAACTGGCACCTACTGTGAGTGAGTGAGTTTGGTTTTAGCAATATTCCAGCAATATCACAGCGAGGGACACCAGAAATGGGCTTCACACATTGTACCCAAGTCAGGAATCGAACCCGGGTCTTCAGCGTCACAAGCAAACACTGTAACTACTAGGCCACCTGACTGCCCCGCCACCTACCGTGAGTGACACTGAAATGAACTGTGGTCTTAGATCTGAGTGCTAATAGTGTAAAGGCTATGAACAGACAAACGGATGACAAATCATGGCTAATCATATAATCTCACTTTGACTGTCATGATAAGCTCATGGAAACAACACATTTTCATAACATGATAAACTTTTACCAATAGTAAAATAAGGTATTACCTCTAAAGAGAAAATTCTTTTATTAAATACCCATCATTTATCAAATTTTACCACAGTAATATACAATGTATATAAATATTTCATTCACCAAATTATGCGAACTGTCAAATGCCTGATTCTGCTCGATGTTTCAGCACTGTGGAGACCATTAGCAGGGGTAGAGCAGGGGTACAGACACCGAACAAAGCATGTGCTGTTCCATGTCTTAATGTCATTTCATCTGCTGCTTACAATAGTTCTGATAGACTTCTGCAATGGGAAAGCTCTCACTGACAGCAGTCATAAACTGAACAATGAAAATAGGGCTCATGGATATTTTGGGGGTATTTTTTGCAGTGAACTGACCACACAATTTCATAAAAATATCCCCCCAATATTAATGATCCTCAGTTTGTTTTGTTCAGTAAATATTATACCTGGAAAATAAAGCAACAATATTTTCCTGCCTTTCTGAGGCTTCATCATCATCATGTTCATTTGGCCACTTTGAATCATTTCAAGACAGAATCTGACAAAACCAACCATTAACATCATAAACAAAAAAACAAAACAAAAGACTTACTTCAATTTCAAGAGACATGATAAATATATGATTGTGTCATGATATTTCTACATTCAGAGACTAAATGGCTTCAGTGCCTGAGCATGACACAAGGGCAGTACATCTGTCTACATCAGGAACAGCCCTCCAAGCATATGACATGACACAAGGGCAGTACAACTGTCTACATCAGGAACAGCCCTCCCAGCATCTGACATGACACAAGGGCAGTACAACTGTCTACATCAGGAACAGCCCTCCCAGCATCTGACATGACACAAGGGCAGTACAAGTGTCTACATCAGGAACAGCCCTCTCAGCATCTGACATAACACAAGGGCAGTACAACTGTCTACATCAGGAACAGCCCTCCCAGCATCTGACATGACACAAGGGCAGTATAACTGTCTACATCAGGAACAGCCCTCCCAGCATATGACATGACACAAGGGCAGTATAACTGTCTACATCAGGAACAGCCCACCCAGCATATGACACGACACAAGGGCAGTACATCTGTCTCCATCAGGAACAGCCCTCCAAGCATCTGACGTGACACAAGGGCAGTACAACTGTCTACATCAGGAACAGCCCACCCAGCATATGACACTACACAAGGGGGTACAACTGTCTACATCAGGAACAGCACTCTGAACGTCCTGACATGACACAAACATTACTAGTGAGTGAGTGAGTAGGGTTTTATACCGCTTTTAGCATATTCCAGCAATATCATGGTAGGGGACACCAGAAATGGGCTTCACACATTGTACCCATATGGGGAATCGAACCTGGGCCTTCGAAGTGACGAGTGAATGCATTAACCACTAGGGTACTCCACCGCCTCACACACCTTATTAGGACAGTTACAATTCACCAAAACACTGGTGAAACGCCATACTTTGTGCTTCAGGTCAGGTATTGATATAAAACATCACATATTCATGACATGTTATATGGTATGAGAATGAAATGTAAAATACAATATTATGATGGTACAAAATTTAAAATAAATTGAAACATACATTTCTAAACTTATACCTGTTGTCATTCTCTTTGATGATGTAAGTCTGCAATGCAGCATGGCCACCTTACTAACAGGGCTCCAGATAATGTCTTAAGCCACTGAGTATTTATTCAGTGAAAAGTTATCATTCACAGTAGGTAAAGACATCTTTCTGTATGTATTCAATATGTTTTAACTCCCTTGGGTCCATTGGCTATCTTTACAAAAATGAGTAGACTTTTCTTAAAGATAATTCTGGTGACTTCTAATTTGTATCAGTTCGCAAGAAGCCCTAAGTGTGAAACATGTCATCTTCCCGAGGCAAGGGAGTTCACTGACTGTAAAAAACCAGTTTCCACCCTTGCGGAACTAGGCTGTAATTTCTGAACTCGATCGTAGTACCACCAGTGGCTATTATGAGTTATGTCCCTTCTATGTCCCTCCTATTGACCAGTCAGTGACCTGTGTGGCCAATTAACAATAACAGAGAAGTGGCACCTTTCTTATGTTTTTTTCACTATTTACTGCAATACAGTTCATGTTGTGTGATGCGTGCATTCAATCAGAGAAAAAAGATCTGTATAGAAATATAGGAAAATACATTACAGGTAATTACGTTGTTACATTTATTGTGTTTTTGACATTTTTCATACATGTTTGTGTGCAAGCAGCTTAAAGATTAATTGGGTAATGGTGCTCTATCTTATGTATTTAATGCAAATATGAAGCCTATCTGGAGTTCTGAACTATTTAGATATGTATTGTATCTCATCAAAATGTATTGTTAAGTCCGACAGGGTACAACCACATGCAATAGCCCGTGTCCACTGCCTCCACCTGTAGCAACTGTCAGCAACCATGGCCCCCAGCAGTATCCATGGCAACACAGCAGGTTCACCAAGACATGCAGGGGGTGCTAGAAGATGCCTTACAACATGGGAAATGTTGCCTAACCTAACTTAACATTACACATGCAATTAAACACTGAGATACATAAACACTCTTTGGATCGGTTCCAAGGCAGCTCCATGCCTGACTCATACCAGACACAAACACATCTAAAAAGTCATTCAACTATTCCGAAAACAGCACATCAACATTAAACATGATGATTATGTCACTAAAACACAGATTACAACAAGATGTACCACATAATGAGATAATGTCCAACACCCATCCCACACTGTATGTCCTTAGCATGTCCACTGCATGTCCACTGTACCCAGGAAATCCTCCACATAACCCCATGGTGACCACACTGGACACTGCATCATGACAACCTGACCGCCATCATGTGACTGTCTCTTTTCTGGCCACCTTTCATATCCCTCTCGTGTTTTTTCCGCTGCTGCTCCATCGTCCTCTCCTGGCGTTCGAGTCGCCTCTTCTCCTTCATGGCGGCATCTGCCTGCCAGGACAGGTCCTCCTGAGACTCGTCCCCCCAGGCGTTTCCCCCGTCCTCCCAGCTGCCTAGCTCCGAGCCCTGCAAAATACACCATGACATACAGCGACATACAGAGCACTTGTCTTGACACCAGTCCTGGGCTTTTTCAGATCAACGCACATTGCCCTTGTCGCTCTGCTCCACAGCATGGACAACCACATGGACAATCAGGGATGAAAAACCTGCATATGTCTGTGATAAGTGATAGACCTATCAATGGAGTAATGATATTCCCTCTGTCACTATGAATCACACTTATTACAACGTAAACACATGCACTGACATATACCATGATACAACATTTGTGTTACTACAAACAGGTGAGATTGATGGTGTTACTACATACAGGTGTCAGATGGATGGTGTTACTACATACAGGTGTCAGATGGATGGTGTTACTACATACAGGTGTCAGACTGATGGTGTTACTACATACAGGTGTAAGATGGATGGTGGTACTACATATAGGTGTCAGATTGATGGTGTTACTACATACAGGTGTCAGATTGATGGTGTTACTACATATAGGTGTCAGACTGATGGTGTTACTACATATAGGTGTCAGATGGATGGTGGTACTACATATAGGTGTCAGACTGATGGTGTTACTACAAACAGGTGTCAGATTGATGGTGTTACTGCATACAGGTGTCAGATTGATGGTGTTACTACATATAGGTGTCAGACTGATGGTGTTACTACATACAGGTGTCAGACTGATGGTGTTACTACATACAGGTGTCAGACTGATGGTGTTACTACAAACAGGTGTCAGATTGATGGTGTTACTACATACAGGTGTCAGACTGATGGTGCTACTACAAGCAGGTGTCAGACTGACAGTGTTACTACATACGGTGTAAGACTGATGGTGTTACTACATACAGGTGTTAGACTGATGGTGTTACTACATACAGGTGTTAGACTGATGGTGTTACTACATACAGGTGTTAGACTGATGGTGTTACTACATACAGGTGTTAGACTGACAGTGTTACTACATACGGATGTAAGACTGATGCTGTTACTATATACAGGTGTAAGACTGATGGTGTTACTGCATACAGGTGTAAGACTGATGGTGTTACTGCATACAGGTGTAAGACTGATGGTGTTACTGCATACAGGTGTAAGACTGATGGTGTTACTGCATACAGGTGTAAGACTGATGGTGTTACTACATACGGATGTAAGACTGATGGTGTTACTACATACAGGTGTTAGACTGATGGTGTTACTACATACGGATGTAAGACTGATGGTGTTACTGCATACAGGTGTAAGACTGATGGTGTTACTGCATACAGGTGTAAGACTGATGGTGTTACTGCATATAGGTGTCAGACTGATGGTGTTACTGCATACAGGTGTAAGACTGATGGTGTTACTACATACAGGTGTAAGACTGATGGTGTTACTACATACAGGTGTTAGACTGACAGTGTTACTACATACGGGTGTAAGACTGATGCTGTTACTATATACAGGTGTCAGATTGATGGTGTTACTACATGTGGGTCTGAGACTGTGTTGGTATTTATACATACAGGTATGGGGATATCAGATGACACTGCTAGCCTGTTGGAGATTGCTGTCTTGTTGATACTAGGTTCATCTTTCTTCTTCAGTAATATCTAAAAACAAAAAAGAATGAATACAAACTTGAATGCATGCAGACAGTTGCCATTTGGGCACATCGTCTCTCGCTTGCTGAAAATCTTATAATGATTTTCTCTACGAATCCAGATACAGAAGACTGATTTTTGTATGTTGACACAAGCGAGTTGGTTTTGCCTGGCTATCAAACTTTACTCTTTTTTACATAAGAAATGTCTTCAGTATCAATCGCATCTAAATCCATCCACATCCACATCCACAGCCCCAGTTTTATTCATTCCCCCATGGTCCACAGGAGAAATTAGTTTCCACCCCGTCAACACTGTTCATTTGATAACCCACCTTTGGTGCTTTTTTAAAATCTGGTGTGAGGTCCTGGAAGTAATCTACCTCAGGCTCCGGCTCTGGTTCTGACAAGCGCTTTTGTCGATAGTTACTCGCTGTCACATGACCTGTCATGTGTCCGGTGTGACTCTTGCGACTTGTGTCCTCTATTCCCCAGCTGTCCCACGACTGAAGCTCTGTCTGTGGATCAAACATGGAACACTGAGTTGACTTCTGTTTTTTGTTTGTTTGTTGTTTGTTGTTTAACACCGCACTCAGCAATATTCCCGCTATATGCCGCCGGTCTTAAACATAATCGAGTCTGGACCAGACAATCCAGTGTTTGACATCATGAGCATCGATCCACCCAATTGGGATACGATGACATGCATCAACTAAGTCAGCGAGCCTGACCACCCGATCCCGTTAGTCTCCCCTTACGACAAGCATAGTCGCCTTTTATGGCAGGCATGGGTTGCTGAAGACCTATTCTACCCGGATCTTCACGGGTCGAGTTGACTTCTACAGCACTGGTGACTGCAGCTAGGAATTTGAGGTGAGGTAAATTAGGGATTACCGTTGCGTTCAAGATTATTTCAGTCATAGAGTGATGTGCATGCAGGTGTGGGGCTGCTTGTACTAGTGCGGACTACAACTAGTCCTATAGAACTAGCCCGCTGAGATACCATGCCACAGTTTCACAAGAATACCCCACTCACACACAGTATACAGACTCTAAGCTGACCAGTCCTTGTTTCATCAGCATAATGCCAAGTGACAGACAGGGTAACAAGTACTATCTTTTAACATCATTTCGTATGACCTGACCAGGGGATAGAACCACAGACCTCCCACGCTCTGGGCAGATGCTCTATCCACTCCACCACGGAGGTGGTCTCAGCTCACATAAGAGACTGACCAATCGATATTCTGGGGCTTCATTTGGGCTCATCAATGCTCATAGTTATAATCAAAAAAATATCTGGTTTTGCAGCTTTAGCAGAAAAAATATCCATCTTGTCTCCATACAAATCCCAGGATGTTGAGGGTTGAATGAACATAAAGGAGGACTGACATTATTAACATGGTAAAATCAAAAAAAAATCAAATTATTAGTATTATAAGAAAATGTAAACTTTGTAACTTAACATGCTTAAAGTGCACTGAAAATTTGTTCAAACAGAATTCCCTTTTTCTATTAGTGTGTCCAGCATACAAACAGTTAAGACAACTATAGATTAACGCTAAGTTTTACCTTCATTCAAACATAACTTTAACATTTTGATGTCATCGCCAACACTCAAACATTATTACTAATTTAACAAAACATTTGTTCTATGCAGATAGGGAAAGAAATATATGTCTAACAGTAATTATGTCTGTGCCTTAACGTTCGTACACAAAGGTCTGAGGCCTCAAAGTACTGAATAAATAAATCGCAAATAAATTAGATCAGTATGCAAGGTGACAAGGATCATGTTGACAGATGTCGAGGCTGTGCTGTGTCCTACCTCGCTGCTGTCCGGCACTGGCGTCATGTCAATAGTGGTGGAATCATATGTAGACAGGTGATTGCCAACAGGAATAATTCCCGAGTCAGAGTTTTTTCGTCGGCGACATACCAAACGCTTGAAAGGTGAAAATACTTTGAAGATGAGGCTAATCAACGTCTTGATGATGTTCCACGCCACACGAAGCATTGTGCATCAAGTCCTGAAACAAACAAAGCAACGATCTTGAAACACTTTATGAGTGAGTGAGTTGGGTTTAAGGGCGCTTCTTTTAACAGTATTCCTGTTACATCACTGCGTGTCAGCTTAATGTGTGAGGAAAGCCCAAAGTGATGCAGGTCTCAGATGTTTACCACTTCGGTGAAACCCACATAATCGGGCGGAACTAGGATTTGAACCCACAAAAAATAGGTGCCTAAGGGATGCATCTCTGGACATTGAATTGTGGTGTCTTTTCAAAAGGATTGGGCCACCCGTGCCCCCAAAACACTTTTAAGAGTATTCAATGAAACCTATGACAATGATGTGAGCATGAAGTGAAAAGAAATTGATCTTTTTGGAGAATAAACAATCAACGATGAGGAATTATGGACAATCTGATCCAAGTGAAAGAGTGCTGAAAGTGCTAAGCCTCTGGCAAGGGACTTTAGCACTCTTACATAAGTTTATCATCTAGCTGCGAGAGTTGAGTAGATTATTCGACATATTACTCATTGCCAATTTTAGAAAGAAACTATCAACCCTTCAGAGAGACTTCTCTATTGGTCAGATGACATAATGTTATCTGGTCAAGGCTGACTCCAAATGGACTGTTTGGACAAATTTGACTGAAGACTGATATCAACAGGACTTAAACCTACAACAAACAATACAAAGACCAAAATACAATACCATGACGGACTTAGCTTACTTTCCTTTATTTCACTGTTCAGCAATTAACTATGTTCCAGTTTCATTCTGGTGTACAAGACATGCAGGAAGCATTGTGAGGCCAAAACCCAAGGTACTCGTGTTTCTGGTGTTAACAGATATGGTCAGTAGGCATTTTTTAATAGATATGTTTTCATAATGTTAAATTTACACAGATTGCTTGTTTAGAACTGATGTTTGTGGTGTTGTTTTTCAAATTTAACCGTAAAAATTGTTACAGCAACAATGACATGTGGAAATATCCAAATTCTTTTTACAAATGTTAAATATTGGTTTCTTGGTGGCTGTTTCCAGCTGTGATAAAAACAGTTGGGTTGCAAGTGAAACAAGCGGTCGGTCAGGTTATCTGAACATGCTGAAAAACAAGTACGGTACTTGTATTTTGCCTGGATATGTAATCATGTTATTAATTGAAAATTGAAACTATTATCATGACAGATAATGTATATCATCAAAACTGGCCCTTGACACTGCATACTTAGACCCATACCTACTGTGATTTTTACTCCTTGAACAGAAAAGAGATGCCAGAGTATACATTCATTATAAATATCCCAGTCTACAATCAGGACTTCATAAAGATACAGATCATGATAGGGCTGTAAGTGAATTCGTAACCAAACCAAATCATAGCTATGGAGAATTTGTAGTTACTTCCAACTCGTAGACAAAATTAATGGTGAACTCCTAGACATATCCTATTTTATTACATATAAATATTGAAATTTTATGTGGCATATGTATTGCAAATCTCAAATTTAAAATCTTTTTATACAGATTCATGTGGAAGCTGTAATTAATCTCTTTCTCATCTTGGATTTTATGCACCTTCCCTAGGCAAGGGAGTTAACTGACTTTAAAAGTCCAGTTTCCACCCTTGCCAAACTAGGCTGCAATTATCCTTTTGGTTGGACTAACGAGTCTATACATAGTCCAATCAAAATCATGTAATGATATCGACATCCAGTTCACAAACAACATGGCAACTGCCATGCCGAATTCTTTCGATTGCACGATTTATGTGTCGTGTGTACTTTCAACTGGGCGTCGACACATATTTTCCAAATTGTGATATGATGCACTTTGCAAGGTGACATCCGTTTTATAACAATAAAGATCTTTAATATCGATGAGATCTTCTTGACTGGGTGCTGCCATTTTGTTTGAAGGAATTGCAAATGATATATGAGAGGTGGAATATGATTGGCCAGTAGGGGGAACAAAAGAATAGAAGGGGCAAAACTCGTAATAGCCACTGGGGGTGCTATGATCAAGCCCAGAAATTCCAGCCTAGTTCGGCAATGGTGGAAACTGGACTTTTAAAGTCAGTGAACTCATTGCCCCGGGAAGATGGGATCTAGGGGAAATCCAATACTCCACTCACCAATTGTCCTTCTCGGCTTGGACATACATAACAAATTATTTATTCATAATAATGGATCCTGCAAAAGATATACTAATATTTCTCATATTTTGTATTGAATTTATTTTAAAAAAGAGCCTTCCTAAGAAAAAACTCAGAAACTGTTCTTGAGGTAAACGACTGACATGGATAGTAATTATCATTCAATTCTGATACTGTTGTTGAGGTAAGTGAAAGACATGGAAAGTAATTATTAGTACTTATTGTCATTCAATTCCAATATAAACAATGTGTCTATGAATTCATTCAAGGTTTGTCTTCGAATACACAATAAATTGAGTCTACAAGCTGGGAGTGGTTATGAATTCACCTTTTCCCCCATGCCAACCTGTAAAGTTAGGCAAACCAGCCAGAGGACGATAACATGCACAACAGTCCATGTCACTGGAGTACAATGACACATGTTCAGCTAGATCAGCCATACTAACCACCCAATCCTCAATAATCACGTTGTTGTTTGTTGTCTAACGCCACACTCAGCAATATTCCAGCTATTTGATGGTGGCTTGTAAATAATTGAGTCAGGGCCAGAGAATCTAGTGACTGACATCATGAGAATCGATCTACTCAATTGGGTTACGATGACATGCATCAACCAAGTCTGCGAGCCTGACCACCCGATCCCATCTTACGGCAAGCATGGGTTGTTGAAGACCTGGTCTCATCCGGATCTTCGCAGGTTTATTAATCATGTCATACAACCACAATGGACATAGAATATGGCATCATGTTTCATGGGGATCTATACAAAATATTGAATGGCAAAAGAGCACAAACCACAGGACTTCTAAAATTCATGCATATTCATCGTCCAAACCACCCTTTAACTCTCAAGTGAGTTGGTGAGTGAATATTGTTTAATGCCGCATAAGCAGATTTGCAGCTATTTGTGGCAATTGTCCGAATGAATACGCGTGAATTTCGCTAAACAGTCCTGTGCATCAACTACCATCTGACTACAGCATGTAGGCCTACATAAACCTGTCTTTGAATACATCCTGTATTGAAACGTGAAAATAATGTGTCCTAGGATTAATTGTTTTCAAGACGATGATTGCTAATATATAATCTATAATTATGACAGGTACTGTAATGTTCCCTCCCTTTCCATCAACTAATGATGTTATTATTGACTGATCGCCATCCAACACGGGCACAAGTTTGGGTTTGTTTATGAAAGCGACATAGTTGCGGCTGCCATGATGAATGTTTTCAATATCGCCATTGACCAACCTGATGTATCACGCAGTAACTTACAGTATATCACAAGCGTGCCCACGGTTTAAGTGAAAACATCGGGAGATAAATCAGAAAGTCATGTTGAAATATGTTTGCCTGCGAAACGTGAAACGAAAACGTTCACAAATGAGAGTTACTTCCCTTGATCTCGTGTGCCATCGAAAACTATCGCGTGAAGTCCGTGTATTGTTGCTAAACAACAGTAAACAAGATGGCGACGATGTAGGAAATCCCGCGGTTGACAGAAAAATAATATTCTCTTGCATCAGATTGTTGCAGATCTCAAGATGCCGGTGAATAGTTTATTGATTGTTTATTGTTAATCTCTCGTAAGACTTTTGCAAATGTTGAGTTTTCTTTGAAGAGACAACATGTTGATCATGTTTAATTTATTTCATATTTGTATGCTGAATGCTCCGAAAGTCCTCATTAGGCCTAATGGTTGAAATTCGACCCTTTCGTGAAACAGACTCAATTATTGATCTAAAATGGCATGACAACAACTGTCATAAATTGATTTTCTAAAACAGTCCGGTTTTATGTCCTTATACCATAAAATCTTTGTTTACATTAGTATGGTTTACTTAAGAATTGACTCACTTTGTGTGAGTTCATCAACAAAAATTATTCGGATTTCCATTTCTGAAAACACTCGGTGGCTGTCGTAAAGTTTGTCATACACGGAAAAGTCTGACAAGACAAGTATAATTTGATCAATATAGCATTTATGTCTACTTTGGTTTTACCTCCATTCAGAGAGATGTAACATTGTGATGTCACAATGGCACAGGAGCGGTCGGGTAGCCTAGTGGTTAAAGCGTTCGCTCGTCACGCCGAAGACCCCGGGTTCGATTCCCGACATGGGTACAATATGTGAAGCCCATTTCTAGTGTCCCCCGCTGTGATATTGCTGGAATATTGCTAAAAGCGGCGTAAAACCATACTCACTCACTCACTCACTCACTCACAATGGCACAATGATGTCACTATAATTTGGTGTTAATTATGTCAATGTACCCATGAAATCGCTGTTGTAGTTTCATTACATCTATAACTTTTCAAATATGCAGAGTTTTTGCGAGTTTTTCCTATCTTCTGGTTGACTTTATATAGCAAATGCGCAAAAGAAAATTGTCTGTATTATTTTACAGAATAAGTTTCAGTTCAAGACACCATACATAAATTAAATAACGTCAAGTAAGGCATTATGACTATGAATTATGTATAATGAATATTCACAGACTTTAAGCTTTTATATATGCCATTTACTCTTTAACTGAAATATAATTTAATGCACCATCATTCCAAATATTTTATACAAATGTTTAAATTTCTCTTTAGATCAATCTATCTTCAAATCACTGCATGGTAAATGCAGGCAACAGTTCAGTATATAAGTTAGTGATTTCAATCTAGTACTTCTAAACATTCAATTTCATCATGTTCCTTCATTTATGTTGTAAAGATTAGATGTAAATTAGGCCTTCCCTTAGAATACAGTACCACAAACTTTTCAAACACATGACAATACCCTATGAAGTAATTTGTAGTATTTAGTTGCTAGTCAAACCAGCAAAACAATGCCCTGTGAGTCATCGAGTGTGCATAAGCTCCTCCCAGTGATCTATCATCTCTACTAAATATAGCCTGCGGCTGCACATTTTATAGCAAGCGCTAGTTTACGAAAGCACTTTTATTTTTTATTTTGTTTTTCTCGTAATTCAAGTGGCTAAACTGATGATAAATGGGAACTAATATCCATATATATTTTTTTTTATTCATTATTTTTTATTATTATGCATAAGAATGCAGTTTATTAGGTATTATTATATTGGCGCTGAACACATCCAAATGTCGCCGGTGTTAGGGTAGGTTACTCATTACCCGTTTAGTGGCTATTAGATTACCCTGAACTCTATCCTCAGCCCTTGGATCCACCCGACAAATAATTAAATTCGATGTAATTCATGCGTACCTGCGAGTTCAACGTCTGACGCCAAGAGACATTTTCAGTTCCCACCATATCGGCTCATTCCTCACCACTTGGTATCTTGTAGATTACAGAATGAGACAAGTGTGCCAAATGGTATCAGGATCACTCGTAAGTGTCCGTAGACTAAAGTCACGAGACACCCTGCCTTCTTGTAACCTTCGTAAGTGTCCGTCACCTATTCGACCCTTTTCGTTCAGTTCCTCAACGGTGTAGACATGACTAAGTAAATCTGCACTTAATTCAACAGTGTGGATGTAGCTCAGTTGGTTAGCAGTCAGGCTAACAATCCGAAGGTCGCGAGTTCGCGTCTGATGGATTCTCACAAAAACTGGTTGCATGTCTTTGAGACATGTGACCTTCGGCAGAGATCATCCTCACGAGAAGTTGTAGCACTGTATTCTAAAGGTGCTCCGTAAATTAATGTATATATGACATGAATAGTTTTGCTATAATAGTATATGTACCTACAAAAAAATACTTGAAAAATGACATAAAAAGAAACAGGCGTTTGAAGTCACGTCAAGTGAGGTCACAGCAATGTTGACCTACCTAGAGTTCCTCAAGAACCTTTCACTTCATCTCCTTGTTATTTCAGAAAGAGTAAGCAGGGTACTGTTTTCATAGTTCCCTTAATGTTTATTATCAAGGGGTGTCCGGTAGCCTAGTGGTTCAAGCCTTCGCTCGTCTCACCGAAGTCCCGGGTTCAATTCCCTGCATGGGTACAATATGTGAAGCCCATTTCTGGTGTCCTCCGCTGTGATATTGCTGGAATATTGCTAAAAGCGGCATAAACCAAACTCACTCGCTCACACGTTTATTATCATTCTTTGATAACAGAATCAATGTTCTTCATTGGAGAGATACATCAATGACTTGACAAATAACAACTCAGTTTTTTCACAAAAGTCATGTTGAATCCTGTAGCGGTACATCCAGCTGATGCCTCTATACCATCACATGTGGCAGTCATTTTAGTCACTTGTCATCAGGATGATATATAAAGGAGCAGCTTAACCTTAACCATGTTAGCCATCATGCTGGATGATAGTCTTAGCTCTTGCATCTTACACTCACCTCATCAACATGCTCCTTAATGGTGACAGTAATACATCTCTTGCAAAGGGTGGAACACTAGCTTGAGGCTCTCCTTCATGATGACAGTAACCCAAGACACAAGATTTTAAACATCAATGAATTAAACTTTTCAGGCAACTTGGGCCTGGATCAGTGCACATATGAAGCCATTATTTATTTGTACAAAGTGAATAAGAAATAAGTCGACTTCCTCTTCCTTTTAGTAAACTTTATTCTTTACATATGGATTAAGTCGACGAAAATAAGTTTTACTGAGGGTTTGTACTAGTTTTAAAATTGCAGAGTAAGAGAATGAAGTTTGTTTTAGCCCACAATCAGCAATAGCCATATTCCAGCTATATCGTGGGGTAAATAATCAATTCAGGCAGACCAGTGGTTGATAGCATGAGTGACAGTCTACTTCATCTTCAATCAGCCAGGTCTGCCATTGTTACCAGCCAAGCTTTGGGTCTGCTGAACCAGATTCACCTGAGGGACTATAGTAGGAGACTGTGAGCAGCATGTAGTTATCTACTGAAGGAGGAGTTACATATATTTTTTATCAATGCTGTATGTTGCTCCCAGGACTCTCAACCACCTGCTGAGAGGTCTGAAAGGAACAGGAAAAAGTTGTCTCCCTTTGAGCTGAAAAAACTATCCCCTCAAGAAAGAAGCAGATATCTCGCAGTAAGTTTTCTCTCTGCTTTGTTCTGTAAGTACTGGCCTGAAGAGCAATGGGTTACATTTGGATACAATCCACATTAAAGTTTTTGTATATAATAAAAACTATGAACACATTGAACTGAATTAATTTTACCTTTGTCTATCCACTTTCCACTGAAAACTCTCAACCTTCTGAGTGTATTGATAGTTTATGTAATTCATAGAGAAACAACATCTAATTAATTTGATGTTAACAAATTTGGTGTTACCAAACATACGTTACATAATTACATGACATTTCATGATGTTTCAAGAAAAGAACTATTTCTCATTCCACCAATGGGGTGATGTCTCTTGGTTGCCTTGACGACCTGCCACTTGTTTCAGTATGAGGAACCCCCAAAGCATGTGAGTGAGGCCGTGAGTGCCACACATAAGAGGCTTGTAGAGCTGAAGAAAGCCAGGATCAGGTTGGTACTGAACTTGCATCCCACTTCAGTCATACATCATTGATCAGAATCCCACTTCAGTCATACATCATCGATCAGAATCCCACTTCAGTCATACATCATTGATCAGAATCCCACTTCAGTCATACATCTTTGTTCATCATCCCACTTCAGCCATACATCATCAATCAGAATCCCACTTCAGTCTTACATCATTGTTAAGCATCCCATTCAGTCATACATCTTTGTTCATCATCCCATTCAATCATACATCTTTGTTCATCATCTCATTCAGTCATACATCATCGATCAGAATCCCACTTCAGTCATACATCATCGATCAGAATCCCACTTCAGTCATACATCATCGATCAGAATCCCACTTCAGTCATACATCATCGGTCAGAATCCAACTTCAGTCATACATCATCGATCAGAATCCCACTTCAGTCATACATCATTGATCAGAATCCCACTTCAGTCATACATCATCGATCAGAATCCCACTTCAGTCATACATCATTGATCAGAATCCCACTTCAGTCATACATCATCGATCAGAATCCCACTTCAGTCATACATCATTGATCAGAATCCCACTTCAGTCATACATCATCGATCAGAATCCCACTTCAGTCATACATCATCGATCAGAATCCCACTTCAGTCATACATCATTGATCAGAATCCCACTTCAGTCATACATCATCGATCAGAATCCCACTTCAGCCATACATCATCGATCAGAATCCCACTTCAGCTATACATCATTGATCAGAATACCACTTGAGCCATACATCATCGATCAGAATCCCACTTCAGTCATACATCATTGATCAGAATCCCACTTCAGTCATACATCTTTGTTCATCATCTCATTCAGTCATACATCATTGATCAGAATCCCACTTCAGTCATACATCTTTGAGCCGCATCGCATTCAGTCATAAATCATTGATCAGAATCCCACTTCAGTCATACATCATCGATCAGAATCCCACTTCAGTCATACATCATCGATCAGAATCCCACTTCAGTCATACATCATCGATCAGAATCCCACTTCAGTCATACATCATTGATCAGAATCCCACTTGAGCCTTACATCATTGATCAGAATCCCACTTGAGCCATACATCATCGATCAGAATCCCACTTCAGCTATACATCATTGATCAGAATACCACTTGAGCCATACATCATCGATCAGAATCCCACTTCAGTCATACATCATTGATCAGAATCCCACTTCAGTCATACATCTTTGTTCATCATCTCATTCAGTCATACATCATTGATCAGAATCCCACTTCAGTCATACATCTTTAAGCCGCATCGCATTCAGTCATAAATCATTGATCAGAATCCCACTTCAGTCATACATCATCGATCAGAATCCCACTTCAGTCATACATCATTGATCAGAATCCCACTTTAGTCATACATCTTTGTTCATCATCTCATTCAGTCATACATAATGGATCAGAATCCCACTTCAGCCATATATCATCGATCAGAATCCCACTTCAGCCATACATCATCGATCAGAATCCCACTTCAGCCATACATCATCGATCAGAATCCCACTTGAGCCATACATCATTGATCAGAATCCCACTTCAGCCATACATCATCGATCAGAATCCCACTTCAGCCATGCATCATCGATCAGAATCCCACTTCAGCCATACATCATTGATCAGAATCCCACTTCAGCCATACATCATCGATCAGAATCCCACTTCAGCCATACATCATTGATCAAAATCCCACTTCAGCCATACATCATCAATCAGAATCCCACTTCAGTCTTACATCATTGTTCAGCATCCCATTCAGTGATACATCTTTGAGCGGCATCCCATTCAGGGATACATCAGCATCCAATGCATTTAGATCACATATTGATTGGGCATCCCACTTAGTTTATCTATCATTGATTGGGCATCCCACTTAGGCCATACATCATTAATTGGACATACGTACCACTCAGATCTTGTATCGATGATTGTTGCATGAATGAAATATCATTCTTTCATACAGACATATTTCTGTAAGCTGTCACAGAGACGACACCAGTTTTATATGTAGTGGTTGTTTGAAGAGGTTTACGTCTATACACAATACCGTATTCCACGTAATAAGCGCCCCGCTCTTATAAGCGCCCACGGCGATATTTGCTGATATATTAGCTAGTGAACAATCCCAATTAGCACCCCTTCTGATTGATCAATGTACAGTAGACTTATTTATTCGCGTATAATACGCACTCGTGTGTTATATGCACCCTTAATTATTGGGAATTAAATTCTGGAAAAATATATCTGTCGTACATAAACATTTCAGGCTGTCGGCATAAACCACGAAATTTATCTTTCAACTCTGTTTTTTTCACCAAAAAAATATTCTAATAAGAGCCCCCTATTTCTAATTTTGAGAGCGCCCTGGGCGCTTATTACGTCGAATACGGTAACAGTAATAGGATGAACCATATGTACAAAGGTATACGAGAATGTTCATGTGAATCAGTGCAGTTTCTGTCTTCATTTCAGAGACTCTGCTCCACCATCAGATAAAGAAGTTGAGGAGAAAAACAAATACGATAACTTAATAGGACAACTAAAGTGAGTTTTTGGTCTTTTTTATATCTATACCTTCCGCAGCCGCAAGCTGGTTGCTTATTTATCCAAAGAAATGTTCAAACAAGGAGACACGCCTGACCCAGAGGTCTATCTTTTAAACACACTGTGTATCCCTTAGCTTTGCACTACCATCTCTGTTGCCAAGTGGATAGAGCTTCTGCCCAGAGTATGGAAGATGGGTGGTTCAATCCCCTGGCTGTGTCATATCAAAAGATGTTTAAAGATGGTATTTAGCATTAAGGGGAGATAACAAGGGCTGGTCAGTTCAAAGCCGTGTGAGTGGGATATTGATGGTATTTCAGTTGGGTAGCATTATAAAACCAGAGAAGTACAAGCAGCCACACACACATGCATGTATAAGTTCCATCATCTTAAACACGACATTAAACCCAATTTCAAGGTGCACTGGTCGTGGTTTCAAATCCTGTGTTCACATGATTGGTAATCTGTAATTTAGCAGTGCAATACATATGTGTTTCCCCCAAGTTGTATATGTCAAGGACCATCAACACATTGGGCTTCCCTGCCTCAAAATGTGTTCAAGCTGTGATAGCTGAAAAAGCGTTCAAAGAGAAGACCCAATATCATCTACTCTAAGCCCTTAATGTTCTGAAATGCTCGTCAATTAGTTGTGTCATATGTGAGATGCCCCCTTCATCCCCTATTGTCTTACCCATCACCACACTCGGGTGAATTTGTACCTATAACAATTGGTGCTGGACAAGTAGGAAGACCCCCTCTTAACCCTCGAAAATCTGGGTGAGAACAGGTCTTCAGCAACCCATGCTTGCCGTAAAAGGCGACTACGCTTGTCGTAATTGCATGTCATCATTTCCCAACTGCGTGGATCGATGCTCATGATGTCAATCACTGGATTGTCTGGTCCGGACTCGATTATTTACAGACCACCATCATATAGCTGGAATATTGTTGAGTGCGGTGTTAAACAACAAACAAACAAACTAACAAGAAGAAGACATACTTTAATGTTTCAGGGCAGCAGAATCCAGGAATCGGTTAAGGATCATGAGACTGCGTTACCAAGCCAACAGGGTATGTCATCATTCCTGAAAGTCTCTGTCTATATTCTTCTGTTCAAATTGGACTTCTTTCTCATGTATGTAGTGCAAATCTTACCAGTTGGATCTCCAGTATTCGTCCTGTGTTTCATGTGGTTGCTACAGGTACTGTCTGGGGAGAGTAAACCCAATGGACATGTTATGATTAGGTGATTGAGATCATTTGACATCTGACTTGAAGATTTAAGTTGCATATTTATGTTGATGGAAACAAATTGAAAACTGGTGGAAGCTATATGATAAATATAGCAAGTTTTTTAAATAAGGATAAGAATTTATGGACGAACAACTTCTTTATTACAATTAAGAGCGACGTTTCGGTGTAGGTTCTAACACCGTTATCAAGCAAGTATTATACAGAGTGTGGTTGACAAGTATATATTCAAGTAGGAAGCAATGTTTATACAGTAGAGTAGATAACGGTATTGGAACCTACACCAAAACGTGGCTTAATTGTAATAAAGAAGTTGTTCATCCGTAAATTCTTATCCTTACTTAGTACTCCAACTTCTAAATGCCTATCAAAGAAGTTGAACAAGTTTTTTATCTTTGATATATGGTGATAGTGGAAGTGATATGATAGATGTAAAGCGTGTTATATCTTTGATATATTGTGGTAGTGGAAGTGATATAATAGATGTAAAGCGTGTTATTTCTTTGATATATTGTGGTAGTGGAAGTGATATGATAGATGTAAAGCGTGTTATATCTTTGATATATTGTGGTAGTGGAAGTGATATGATAGATGTAAAGCGTGTTATATCTTTGATATATTGTGGTAGTGGAAGTGATATGATAGATGTAAAGCGTGTTATATCTTTGATATATTGTGGTAGCGGAAGTGATATGATAGATGTAAAGGGTGTTATATCTTTGATATATTGTGGTAGCGGAAGTGATATGATAGATGTAAAGGGTGTTATATCTTTGATATATTGTGGTAGCGGAAGTGATATGATAGATGTAAAGGGTGTTATATCTTTGATATATTGTGGTAGCGGAAGTGATATGATAGATGTAAAGGGTGTTATATCTTTGATATATTGTGATAGCGGAAGTGATATGATAGATGTAAAGCGTGTTATATCTTTGATATATTGTGATAGTGGAAGTGATATGATAGATGTAAAGCGTGTTATATCTTTGATATATTGTGATAGTGGAAGTGATATGATAGATGTAAAGCGTGTTATATCTTTGATATATTGTGGTAGTGGAAGTGATATGATAGATGTAAAGCGTGTTATATCTTTGATATATTGTGGTAGTGGAAGTGATATGATAGATGTAAAGCGTGTTATATCTTTGATATATTGTGGTAGCGGAAGTGATATGATAGATGTAAAGGGTGTTATATCTTTGATATATTGTGGTAGCGGAAGTGATATGATAGATGTAAAGGGTGTTATATCTTTGATATATTGTGGTAGCGGAAGTGATATGATAGATGTAAAGGGTGTTATATCTTTGATATATTGTGGTAGCGGAAGTGATATGATAGATGTAAAGGGTGTTATATCTTTGATATATTGTGGTAGCGGAAGTGATATGATAGATGTAAAGGGTGTTATATCTTTGATATATTGTGGTAGCGGAAGTGATATGATAGATGTAAAGGGTGTTATATCTTTGATATATTGTGATAGTGGAAGTGATATGATAGATGTAAAGCGTGTTATATCTTTGATATATTGTGATAGTGGAAGTGATATGATAGATGTAAAGCGTGTTATATCTTTGATATATTGTGATAGTGGAAGTGATATGATAGATGTAAAGCGTGTTATATTTTTGGTATATGAAGCAGTGGAAGCAAGCGAATGGAAGTGATATGATAGATTAAGATTAAGGGGTTAAGATTAGTGAGGACCTGTTGAATGTTACAGGCCCAGGAAATCAGCCACTTGATCGCATGCCAGCCAGTGGCCTTGAAGGCTGTCCGACTCCAGGCCTTGCTGCCCCCATACCCAGACACCAAGGACCGGGGAGATCGCCTGGACAAACTAGATGTGAGTAGCACACCACAATGTCAGCAGTGAAACATTGTCTGTATTGTGGGTTGTGCAGTCCTCCAGTTGTTGTGCAGCAACTCCTGGTCAAATAGAGCCCTGGCACCTCATGCACCTCTTAATGACATCCATGTTCTCCCTTGTTTCTGCTCTCCCATCAATCCTTGATGACCATCTGGCTCCGGGTCAGAAAAAGTTTTATTTCAGTCCATTCACCCATTTGAATATATTGCATCCAACCTTGGAAAGAAATTTACAAATTTCACATGAAATATGAAATTGTATTTCAATGTAAGGATATTAGAATAAGGTGAGAGCCTTGTGTTTTACCTGTCTTTGGTGTCTCCGATTCCCCTGTCTTATAAGCTCTCCATGCCAACACAACGACCACTGCACCTTGAATATGACACAGTAATGATCAGATTGTGAACCATTGTTGCACAAACAACTTAACAAGCAAAGGATGTTTTTTCGCTATCTCTTTTTATATTCTTCTGCCTGTTAACTCTAAAGCTGAGTATTGACATGAAAAAGACACAAAATAATATGTATGACGGGGAACTGACTGGGGAGTGAGTGGTCAGGGTCTCAGACTTGTGTCACTTCCACGATGGCAGGGATCATCTCTGATTTGCCTGGCCCAGACTGTTAGTTACTGTCCACTGTGATACAGCTTGAATACTACTGACTGCAGTGTTAACTGTCTAATTGTGGACTAATGATTATATTATTGCCATAAGAGAAAAACGTAAAATGACATTTACCAATTGAATTCTAATTACCAGAATAGAAAGTAGCACTAGTGATAATTTCTTCCCTCACAGATTGTAAGGTTAGACAGATTAAGACTCAGGTGCTCTTGGTGTTTGTCATTTGGGTCACATGTGGTACCTGTACAATTTTAAACCAAGGCTTACAAAAATAAAAGGATTGGTTCTCAGGCAATGACATTTGAAAATATAGTGTGGGCGGGCGGTGGTATTTTTATTTTTGCTTGTTCAAACTAGTATATAACCAAATAAACAGTTGTGTACTATTAACCTGGAAAAGGGCCTCCCTACATAAACAAGCATACGAACTCATTGTTGCCTTGACCATAATACACGATGTGCAGTAATGCAGTGTGCATGTAAAGGGAAGTAACTGTGTGCTATTTTGGATCGCATTGTATTTAAGTATTAGGATTTTCATTTTTTTTTGAAAATGGAAATAAAAACGAAACATGCAGCAGACTTTTTGATGATGCGGGCGGTGCCTGAAAACCAAGACTATTATTTATTATCGGAATGAAGTACTGCAGCACATGCACTTCAAGAACAGTGCCACTTGAGCTGGTCATATCTCCAGATTTACACACCTTGGGTGTGGGTTTGTGAGCCTTAAGTGGAAAGTGAAACGTACTGTTTGCATGAACTACTTGGGTATACATGGGTTAGCCCTGGTGGAACTCTAGTCTAAGTCTGTGCTCAGAGACAGAGAGGTGTGACAGTGCTATATCAGGAGAGAAAGGAACAGTTGCAAGAACTCTTTGCCTCTTTGTTTGAGTATCTGTATCTTTATTTAAGTACCTACACTCATTACCTTTAGGGGGCACGGGTGGCCCAGTCGTCTAAGGCGCCGCGATTCGCTGTGCAGAGTTGCGTCCCTTGGGCACGCCAGAAACCTATGATTGTGGGTTCGAATCCCGGTTCGCCCGAATTATGTTTCTAGGTTTGTCAGCACCATACCCGTGCTCGTGGGTTTCACCGAAGTGGTAAACGTCTAAGACCTGCATCACTTCGGGCGTTCCTCCCACATAAAGCTGACACGCCGTGATATAACTGGAATACTGTTAAAAGCGGCGTTAAACCCAACTCACTCACTCACTCACTCATTACCTATATATCACAGTGTAAGCTCTAGTAGCCTAGTGGTTAAAGTGTTCGCTTGTCAGGCCGAAGTTCTGGGTTTGATTCCAGACATGGGTACAATGGGTGAAGCCCATTTCTGGTGTCCCCTGCCGTGATTTTGCTGGAATATTGCTAAAAGCAGTATAAAGCCATACTCACTCACTCACTCACTCACTCACTCACTCACTCAAAATCTGGATGGTCTGGACAGGCAGAGATTACCGGTATGTTAAAACGAGAAAGTTATTTCACCGTAACTGTTTTTAATGACATGCACAATGAGACTTTTTATGGCCTAATGCAGTAAACACAGACATATTGAGATGAGTTGCAGTGATGAAATTAAATTTTAACTGTTTTGGTTTTGTCAGAGAGACCGGGTGGAGCAATTGCTGGAGGACACAGAGGGTCTCCAGACCAACAGGATCCACTGATCTCTGTCTTCATCTGTCTCACATCATCATCAGGAGGGACTTGTTGGTGGGAAGATGGACGTGTTCGTTACCTTTCACAGATTGGTGTCATTACTTCGTCACTGCATGGCTGTGTTCATCATTTTGTTGTCACTGATCTCTCTTCATCATAGGAAACTAAAACAGATTTAATTCATATATTGAAATGACATTTTTGTCATCTTAATGTATATTCACACATATGTATTTTTAATATGTCACTTTTCGCTTATTATATGCCACTTTTAGGCATTTGAATTTTTGATTAGTTATATGTAACAAAATGCTGTTTATTTCTAGAAATTACTGAGGTACTTTTTTCTCTGTGAGATATTAGTCTATTCTTGTACAAACAATATGACTGCACGGTATAACTGGAACGCCAGTATACTGCAATACCCTTAACATATCATGCATTGTGCAAAAACTTCTGTAAAAAAATATAACAAGTTTTATTATTATTTGTATCGTTTAACCTAAACTCTACACCGAGATTCATTCACAAATGATTTTTCCCCTCCAAATTGATTGACAAAACGGGGGTAGTGATTTTTCTCACATTGTTATCTCCCCTGTATCCCTGACTACAAAACGACAGACATCGTTTGACCATGCTGATTTGCAAGATTTACTTTAGTATGTAGAAAATAGGATCTACATGTACAATCAGTGTCAATCACTGTCAAACACTTTAGCTCCCAATATATGGCAGTACATATCACAATATATTGCAGTACAATGTTTTGGCAGTACACAGCCCTAACAAAGGTATTGACAGTTTACTACATGAAGTTATTCAACCAAATTAACCTACAGTTGATTAGTTTCAGGATTGCTATTGGTCAGAATCCATGTCATGAACATTTGCCACATTGCCTGGTAGCAACACGGCGTGATGTCATGATACTGCCGCATGTCATGGCATGTGCTTGTCATCATTTGTATATTTAGCATGATTGTACAGAGCAATTGACAAAATATACAGAATATGTTTCATTTGTAATTTATGTACAGTAAATATTATTGATATGAAGGTATTGAAAAAATAGCTTGGATCATGTACTGTACAACTTCAAATAAATGTGTCACATGTTAACGGATGTGTTGGGATTTCTTTCACTGGAGCTGCTGGCTGACATTTGCCTGTGGAAGTTCACTTACCGAACATGGAGGCAAAGGTTTGGTCAGTACCTTGGTGTGATATACCACTTCCATTCGTGGTAGGATGAGATGGTGATGTGACTGATAACTTACCGAACTTGGAGGCAAAGGTTTGGTCACTTCCTTGGTGTGATATACCACTTCAATTTGTGGTAGGATGAGATGGTGATGTGACTGATAACCTTCTAGGGCCCCAGAGGCAGCCTTGGTGGTATTCTCTCCAGGGAGCTGAGAATGATGGAGTGCCCACTGATCCATTAATATTAATGTATTGATGCATATTTTACAATTGGACTATTAGTATTTCTATCAGGGGATAACAGTGTGTGACATTTATTCCCTGAGACTGCCCTGATTGTTTGATGTGCTGATGCCCAGTGATGACTAGACTCCACTGCCACAGACTCATTTGCATTTTAGTGACCAGACTTTTCTCTTCTTCTTTTAACAAACACGCTTATTCTGAAATCAGAAGAGACTGGCCTAATGCAAGCCTTTCGGTGCGCTTTAGATATGATTTTGCATAATTATATACCACTACTACTACTACTACTACTTCTACTACTACTACTACTACTTCTACTACTACTACTACTACTACTACTACTACTACTACTACTACTACTACTACGACATTGAGGTGCTTGGCAATATATCTTTATACATCAAAGTGATCTTATCGCTAGCTCTCTTTTGGGCTTGGATGACAGCGATGATAAAGCCCTACAACCAATGTCAACAAAGGATAAACAGTTTTTGACGTTTTAGGACATTTTCTGAATAAAAGTTAACCATTCTATGACACATGCTTATGTAGAGCCTCATCAAAAATGAAACAGATGAAAACAACATGCAATATCTTGATGGACTGTGCAAAGGCGTATCTATGTATGTCTTTGAACTGTGTAAGATGTGACGAATCGTCAATGGTGCTAGCCTGTGGCAGAGGTACTGTACTGACCACGTGAAACTCTGGGTAGGAGAGGGGTGTGCACAAACTAGGGCTGGGACGGGTAACTCGGGTACTCGGGTCGGGTGGGTCCTGCGTAGGACCCGGGTACAAACAGGACTACCCGGACCCGTGGTTAGTCACGTGATATATTGTTTAATGACAAAAACTCACTATAGCTCAGTGGTTACACTACAAGTCGCTAATGGTCGTATTTCTTTCTGACGATGCACACATTCCTTTTGACTTGTGTATGTTTGAGTAAAGATGATGCTTCAGTCAACTTCAGTGAACGCATGATCTGATTGTTTGATACATGTATCTAAATAGTTTTAGCCAGGGCTGTGGTAAAACAATTACCAATCAGACATTTTGTTCCCAACTCTTTAGACTTGCATTGGGTACCCGGGTAGGATCGGGTAATAGGGGGTTGGATACCCGGGTAGTAAATTTGGACTCGTCCCAGCCCTAGCACAAAGTGATCCACTCAGTGACCTATCACCCTGTTGACAGTTTTCAATATTTGTTGTGAAACTAGTTCCGGTGGTATCTTCAACGGGCGAGTAATAAAGTCCGCCATCTGAACAATCGGCTACCTTCAGTGAAGTTTCTTTTAAGGGTTGACAATTCATACGTTGGTTCTTCATTGCCTCTTTAATGTCACACAAAAGATGGGTTTAACCGACCTCAGTCAGTCACTCACTCAATGCATCAGCTACCACCGCTGTGACCACCCTTGAAGATCCCGGTTAAAATTGGTCTTCAGCAACCCTTGCCTGTCGTAAGAGGCGACCAACGGGATCGGGTGGTCAGACTCGCTGACTTGGTTGAAGCATGTCGTCGTATCCCTATTGCCTGGATCGATGCTCATGATGTCAATCACTGGATTGTCTGGTCCAGACTCGATGATGGACAGACCGCCGTCATATAGCTGGAATATTGCTGAGGGCGGCGTTAAACAAAAAACAAACAAACACTGTCAATGGAACTCCCTGGAGATTCCTGGCAGAACATATAGGATCCTAGCACCACAAGCTGCAAGTAGGAGGATGGAGTAGATGGCAGATTACCAGTCATCGTATGTGTTATCGATTGTTGACCGTTGCTCATGCTGTCACCCACTGGTTTGGCCGACTTAATTATTCCTGTGATACAGCCAGAATAGTGCTGACTGCGACATAAAGTTACTTTCACTCACTTACCGCACTAGGAGGTTGCACTCGCTGGAGACAACAGTGTAATATTCTCATCGCCAAAAACCCCCGGAACTATAGAAACATATGTATGTACGGTTAGAAGAGATGTTTCCAATGTGTACCAAATAATGACAAAACTGACAATCAGTCAAATGTTTCCACAGAGTGTCTTTTTTCTTATCACGATATTGTATACGTGATTTCCAAACTTTACACGCTAATCCTGCACGAGACAAATAGTGCATCTCGAGTCATGGATCGATGACGTCACATGTGATGCATTCATGAGCGTCGAATCACACAACATACCAGTATGTTCGTTTGTGCATCCATCCAATAATATCTCTAGACTATGAATATTTTTTCATCCATTAACCAACATGTATGGCATTCGCGTTTCTTTTGTCGGTAAGTATACTTTGATTGTTTCGAAAACTTTGCGTTGAGCGATAAGTTCTTGTAATCTGAGCAGTGGAAACAGTCAGCTGTTTGTGTCATGATCTGTGCCAAAGTGTGCTAGGTCAAACTGAACCATTGTGAAGCATTGTGGGAACTGGAGTGAATGTCACAACATGTTTGTTTGTTGTTAACTCCGCACTACCGGAGATCCAACTGGTAAGATTTGCACTACATACATGAGAAAGAAGTCCAATTTGAACAGAAGAATATAGACAGAGACTTTCAGGAATGATGACAAACCCTGTTGGCTTGGTAACGCAGTCTCATAATCCTAAACCGATTCCTGGATTCTGCTGCCCTGAAACATTAAAGTATGTCTTCTTCAGAGCTGACCCAGGGGTATGATTTGTTGGTTTGTTTGTTTGTTGTTTATCGCCGCACTCAACAATATTCCAGGTATATGACGGTGGTCTGTAAATAATCGAGTCTGGACCAGACAATCCAGTGACTGACATCATGAGCATCGATCTACGTAGTTGGGATCGATGACATGTATCAACCAAGTCAGCGAGCCTGGTCACAGCATGTCGCAAATCCGTTTCTACCATGGTGGTAGATCCAATTCCAACAGACAATTTGCGATTCTCGCACTGAACAATTGGTTGCTTTATTGTTTAACGCCGCACTCAGCAATATTCCAGCTATATGACGGCGGTCTGTAAATAATCGAGTCTGGACCAGACAATCCGGTGATTGACATCATTAGCATCGATCTACGTAGTTGGGATCGATGACATGTATCAACCAAGTCAGCGAGCCTGGTCACAGCATGTCGCAAATCCGTTTCTACCATGGTGGTAGATCCAATTCCAACAGACGACTCGCGATTCTCGCACTGAACAATTGGTTGCTTTATTGTTTAACGCCGCACTCAGCAATATTCCAGCTATATGACGGCGGTCTGTAAATAATCGAGTCTGGACCAGACAATCCGGTGATTGACATCATGAGCATCGATCTACGTAGTTGGGATCGATGACATGTATCAACGAAGTCAGCGAGCCTGGTCACAGCATGTCGCAAATCCGTTTCTACCATGGTGGTAGATCCAATTCCAACAGACGACTCGCGATTCTCGCACTGAACAATTGGTTGCTTTATTGTTTAACGCCGCACTCAGCAATATTCCAGCTATATGACGGCGGTCTGTAAATAATAGAGTCTGGACCAAACAACCCAGTGATTAATATCATGAGCATCGATCCATGCAATTGGGATCGATGACATGCATCAACCAAGTCAGTGAGCAGGACCACCCGTTCCCGTTAGTCGCCTTTTACGACAAGCAGAGTCACCTTTTACGGCAAGCATACTGAACAATTAATGTTCCAACAAACAGTCATGTCGCAGTCAGAGATAGAAACCGTCGTCTTTGATACTCACATCGTTGGCATGCATCCGATTCTTTTTGCTTTGCTAGTGTTGTTATTCCGGTCACTGCTTACCTGTGTTGTTATTAAGTACTTGTTCTTATTTACCATTTTAGTCAAGTAATGGAGTTTCTGTTACTCTCGAACCGATGTAATAACCTAGTTTCCCTAGGTTCTGAGCGTCCAAAAGATCAGTTGAAACACCCAACAACTATGGCAAAAAAAGGACACTCACTCATTCTTGACTGGACAACATGTCATTTGAGGGTCTTGTAGTCCGGACACTGCTTTACAATAGCATGTGTGAAACAAACTAAACTCTCTGCCAAATCCAAACTAAATCTAAAATATGGAAAAATCGCAGAGGTCTACAAGCACAGATACGGAAACTGGCACCCCCTCCCCCTGCGTTCTCGGGCGATGATGAAGATTCGTGCGTGGAGGACAGCATGTCAGCCATCACGTCATGTACAGGAGTGAGTGAGTGAGTGAGTGAGTAATTTTAACTGTCAATCGATAACCATTTTTACTTCAAGGCCAATGTCGAAAAGCCCGAACAGTATGGTTACTGCGGAAAGGGCAGACCCTGGGCAGTTATCTCAATACAGACAAAGATAGGAGGGATGGGGAGGGGGGAATGAGACAAAGAGTAAACAATATTAATAAGAAAGAAAGAAGAAGTCGACGCGCATACATTTGAGGTGGCCGAACGTTTTCCCAAGCTCCAAATACATTTTTGAGATACAGAGGGTATTACCTCTGTGACTGCATATAAGGAACTAGCAATTTGACCTATTTCACGGAATTCATCTGGTTACTTCCGATACGACCCTAAATCCAAAACTATTTGGTGTAACATCGGGATGTCTTTAGAATATCACGGCGTGTTAGTTTAATGTGGGAGGGTAGCCTAAAGTGATACAGCTCTCAGATGTTTGCCATTAAGTCTTTGGTGAAACCCACGAACACGGGTATGGTGCTGACAAACTAGAAACATAATCGGGTGGAACCAGGATTCGAACCTACGATCTCGTGTTTTCCCAAGCGACGCAACTCTGCACACCGATTTGCGGCGCCTTAAACGATTGGCCAACTATTGCCCCCATCAAGCAAAGGAAACAATGTAGACGAACGCTGTGTCAAACTAACACAAGTTTTGTTACTTTGTTGTTAAACGCCACATTCAGTAATATTCCAGTTATATGACGGCGGTCTGTAAATAATCGTGTCTGAACCAGACAACCTAGGGATACCATTACATGCATCAACCAATTCAGCGAGCCTGACCACCCCATCTTCCCGAGGCAAGAAAGTTAACTGACTATAAAAGTCCAGTTTCCACTAGTCAGTTAACTCCCTTGCCTCGGGAAGATGGACTACCCAATCTCGTCAGTCGCCTCTTAGGACAAGCACAGTCGCCTTAAAGGCAAGCATGGGTTGCTGAAGACCTATTCTACCCGATCCTCACGGGTCAAGTGACGCCAAGTACGGAATGATGGCTCATTTAGGAACGTTCACTTTTATCCAAGCTTCATGGACATGTATATTTAAGAAAATAAGCGATTCACGACGTACACTTGCTAGCTTCAGAACTAGCCACCTCTTCAGAGTTTTAGAGTTCAGACTCCCTCTCTTGACTGTTTATCGTGTGTTCGAATCCCAGATTCGCCTTGATAATGATCCTTGGTTTGTCCCAACCATATCTGTGCTCATGGTTTCAGATCGTAACATATACTTCTGCATAACTGTGGACATTACTACCATATTGAACTGACACGTCGTGTTTCAACTGAAATACTGTCAAAAGCAGCGTACGGGCCATCAGACTCACTCACTCACTCACTCACCCTTGACCGGACTGTCGCATAACTACGGATACTGCTGGACAGCGTCATGTGTTTTTCTATGACAGGTAGCCTCGTGTCTCAGTTGACGTCTAACCCAACCAAAAACAGATGTCTTGTTTTTGATAGAGTGCCAGGGTTCAGACTTGTGTCTCCGTTCTAAAGCACAACTTCTGTTTATCTTGTCGCCATTGCATTTCCGCACGACACCGCGACTATATAAAGTCCACTTGCCGTCCATGACGCTACACCCACAAACAAGCATGAAGTATCTCGCTCTTCTCCTGATCGTCGCCGTCTTCACCCTCAACACTGGTAAGCAGCTCAGGGAAAAGTGAGTGAATGAGTGAGTGAGTTGGGTTTAACGCCGCTTTGAGCAACGTTTCAGATACATCATGGCGTTTCAGCTTAATGTGTGTGTGTGTGTGCGCGCGCGTGTGTGTAGCTGTGTGTGTTGACATGTGAACGTGTGTTATGTGGGTCGGAGTGACTAAAGTCACGCAGATGTTAGACATTTGTCACCTTGTTTAAACCATCGATCACGGTTGTTGTGCTGTCAGTCCAAAGATCAAATCATGGCCAATCTGGGATCCGGACTCGCGATTGTAGAATTCATTCAAAACTAATAATAGCTCGAGCTGATTTGATTTCGGTCTTAACATTTTTGATCGTTTTTGAAAGTTGACACTGACGGTTAACGGTTGCATTTAACAGATGCGATCATCTAAATTACACCAAGGTTCAGTTTGGAAAGACGTTTGAAATAAGCTACTTTCAACCAGTAACAGATTTTCTTTCAACTTTGACATAACTAAAGCATACATCTGAAAAACACTAAAATATAATTGTTTTGTATGAAATCATGTTAAACATTTTCACAAGTGATCGTCAGACTGAGCCCGACTGCACTGATCGGTCATCTTCCCTAATACCACGGCGCCTTTGACTCACTAACTCTTTCACTGAGTATTTGTAGGCGAGGTGAGCGGCCAGCAGTGTGCGGGTGCCTGCAAGAACGAGGCACATGGTGGACACGACTTCTGCATTGCCCAGTGCTCTTCCTGTACACATGGAGCCCATTGTGACCATCACAATGACGTTTGTATCTGTCAACAGTGAGTCTCCTACTGGCATCGTTCTCCTTACTCTCCGTGCACCTGTCACACTCACTATTCCACTCTGTCCGTCTGTCTGTCTGACCGTCACATGTATGTACTGTTATACCCACATGATATTTATCACATGTATGTACTGTTATATCTGCATCATATTTCTCATGTGTATGTACTGTTATAGCTACATCACATGTCCCATGTGTATGTACTGTTATATCACCAGCTGTAGCTGTGACGTAGCCATGAGGGGATATCCATTAACTGTTTTAGAGAAGGTCATGGATGACAGTTTCTCGAACACCTAGTGTCTTCACTGATTTGCAGCGATCTACTCATATAAGTTTACCTTTGGAATCTGTTAAAGCAGAAAATCGAGACTGATTATTCTCTGGCGTTGGCGTTGTATAAATGTCGTATTTGTGACGTAGACACTGAGGATACCCACTAACTGTTTTTGTTGTTATTTCAGCGCATAGGAATGATCTCCTGGGAATGGTTTGGTCTGTCAGCCAAATGCAGGTCAAATACAGCAAATACTTTAATAAACAACATTTTGTTATATATTTTGTTGTTTTGACTTCAACAAAGCGTGCATTCCTCACTTACTGATACAGCCTCACGTGGAGGTTATCAACCAGGTGTGCATCTTGAGGACGTGAACGAGGAACACGTGCTGTCCAATTGTACAATGGACACGTAAGGAATTAACACGTCACTCTCGTCATTTATCAGTATATGTGGTTGGAGAGTATAGCGACGTACATGCACATATATATATTTATCATATAACGGGTAGGTTTCTCGGCAGGATAAAGCCAACGGATAAAAACGATATCCGTTGGGGTCATATGCGGATAGAGATGCAAATATCAAAGGTCAAGTAGGGAGTACTTTCACTGTTTATAAACAAACATGGCGTCGCCCTCGTCATTCTGGGATCGAGTCAGAGTTAACCATCGGCAATCTGGATAAACTACAGGGATAATTGCTATCATTATCAAAAGAACAGTCTAAAATCCGTGTCTAGCTGTGACGCAGATAAGGCATTTTATAAGTTTTGGCAACTTTGGAGATATAAATTTCGAAACAATTTTGCGAGGGCACGAGGCCTAGCCAAGCGGGATCAGTAGCCATATCTGTGCTTGTAGACCTCTGCGGCTTGAAACCTTCACCACAAATTAAAATAGTTGGAATTGGCCGAAATATATGTGAATTGTTACCTTGTTTCGTTTGGTCACTGTGTGTACATCTGACTACACTTCTTAACGTTATGACAGGACAGACCGACTGTCAACAAGGTCTGACCGTGGTCGTGACGTCTCAGAGACTAGGGTTAGAGTAGCTTCCCTTTGACAAAGGGCAGTTACTCTAGCGAACAGACCGATGGATTACCGCAAAAGGCAATTAAAAACAATTGTTGTTTTGCGTTTATGTTGCTTCGCCACTGTATAAGAAATAGATTTCATTTGGAACTATATTGGCTACTGTCACTGTCCGACTGACACGTCACTTACCCTCTGACGTAATAAATATTAATGCGCGCATTGCAGGAAAACTCGCAATGTTTCGATTATGTTTGTGAGAGAGGGAAAGCGATTTTTAAGCACAGAACTAAAGAATGACATTATATGATAAAGAGGTTATCACGCTTGTGTGTTTGGGGATGGTAAATATCCTGTATTAGGAATAAACACTATGTATTTAGCTCGCCAAGGCTCGCTAAATACAATGTTTATTCCTAATGCAGGATATTTACCATCCCCAAACACACTCGCGTGATAACCTCTATTTATATATATGTGTGTGTTAGTGTGTGTGTGTGTGTGTGTATATATATATATATATATATATGTGTGTGTGTGTGTGTGTGTGTGTGTGTGTGTGTGTGTGTGTGTGTGTGTGTGTGTGCACGTGTGTGTTTAGCCCCTCAATGCTGAGCGCTAGACAGGGTAACAACAAGTACCATCTTCCAACATGTTTTGGTTTGACGTGGCCGGGGATCGAATCCGGGACGACGGAGGCGGTCTACTGTCACGCTAAAAACATACAGTACAGTGACGTCAACATCATACCATGCTGCCATCCATTATTTCGACAATTATCACAAAGCGGCTGGACAAAGAATTGATCATCAGTGACCTGTTTGTCATACGACACGACTTAATAGATCGGGAGGTCAGGTTTTGTGACTTGGTTGATAACGTGACAACATGTACGTGCCCCGACGACCGTTGCTCATGACATCTATCACTGGACTGTCTGGTCAAGGTTCAATTATTTACAGGTCGCCATATAGCTAGAATATTGCTCAATGCGGCGTTAAGCAACAAAAAACAAACTTTCAGTCATTGTGCTAAATGAATCACTCATAAAACACTGGATAATCGAATATCTATCCCTAATATAATGAAGATATATCACACCAGATAATTGAGGGTCCCATGATATATACTACTCCAAAGACATTAAAGAACATCTGACTCTTTCATATGGCTACAGGGGCGGTCGGGTAGCCTGGTTTTTAAGCGTTCGCTCGTCACGCCGAAGACCCGGGTTCGATTCCCGACATAGGTACAATGTGTGAAGCCCATTTCTGGTGTCCCCCGCCGTGATATTGCTGGAAAATTGCTAAACGCGGCGTAAAATCATACTCACTCATATGGCTAAATATAATATATGATGCCATAACAGAATAACTTTACTAATGTGAAAGAATCTGGTTTTTTAACTGTTTTGTTTTTTAAAACACTGCTGGAATAGTGCTGACTGGGATGTGAAGCAAGTTTCATTCACTGCCCGAGAAGGTTTACAGACGGACATTTTTGACATTCCAAGATAAAAAGTGTGGTACTTTGATTGTTTTGAAAACTTGTGTTGAGAGGTTAGCTCTTGTGAGCTTTGTTAAGCTTTGTGAGCTATTTGTGTCATGATCTGTGGCAAGGTATGCTATCATCCCCTTATGGTAGCCACATTGTAGATGGACTATGGGGGAAATTGTGATGTTGGGGTCGTCAATATCCCAAGTTGGTCGAATGTTTGACAAATCAAAAAGTGTAATTATTCTACTGTGGGACGCGTACCGTGAAACTGTTGCAATTACAATTGGACGTGGGTGTGGCAGGCCTAAAAAATCGAGACTTAGACAAGATCGACGCATTACATTAATAACACAACTACGCAATAGATTCAAACCTGCTTCTGTTACTAACAGAAAATTCTGTACAATAACAGGAAGGTGAATTTCATCATCTACCGTTAAAAACGGCTCTCAGCAGCCCGCCTGTGAAGGGTGTGACCCTTACATCTTACCACAGGCCGCAAAGATTGAGGTGGGCGAGGCAACACCAGGGTAGGCTGGCTTTACACCATGTTTACAGACGAATTAAAGTTTTGCCTCCGATTCTCAGATGGCAGAACATGTTGTTGGCGACACAGGGGCGAGCGGTGTGCCAGGGTAGTAATTCATGATCTGTATGGGAGTGGTAGTGTGTCATGGTGTTAGGGGGTATCACACATGCCAGGCGAACTGATTTGTTCATTGTTGTTGGACATTTGACTGGCCAGCGAAATTTGGCGCCCTGTCCTTGTTCAATTCTCAAGAACTGCAAGATGACAATGCCAGACCACATCGTGCCTAGGTCGTTACCGGTAACCTTGGTGTCGTGCATGTGTCGCCCAACATGGTGGACATGAGTCTCCTAATGGCGATTTGAGGGAGTCTGTCCCAATTCTCTTACAGCGACTGACCAAGTTCAGACAAGTCAAGTCGGCGGCCTGTGACGCTGAGGCGCACGTCTCCCTATCATGTCCCACACGTGTTCAATGAGGAGAAGGTCTGGGGTCATGGTATGGTATTCTATGGATGTTGTCCTGCTGAGGTGAGCATTGGCGATTCGTGCACGATGAGCACGGGCGTTGTCGTCCTGAAAGACAAAATGTCGACCCACACGCCTTGCAAACGGGACAACAAAGGGTGTCAGTATGTTGTCCTGATAGTACCGTCAAGTGACCCTTCCTTGCACAATATGGAGTGGGATTCGCTCAATCACAGTGATGCCACGTCTCACCATAACCGATACACAACCAAATATGTGACGACGTCTCAGGTTGACATTGGTTTGACGTTCATTTCGACGTCGCCTGACACGACCACGCCTATCAAAGAAGTACAAAGTGAATCGGCACTCATCTAAAATCATGACATGTGACCAGCGACGATTACCCCAGTTTCGACGTTGTTTAATTACACCATTTACTTCTGTTGGCAATAGGACGATTTGTAATGGGCGGCACAACATGTTGCCGTTGAGTATGGAGATTCATTTGGGAAATCAATACAACAGCACTTGGCCAATTCAGCTGATCAGAATGCAGGAATTACAATAAACACAACAAAAACGTAATTATGTTCCCGTTAATGTTAATGAGCAATATATAGAATAACCCACTCGAAACATAGAATGAGGGAAATTTTGTCCCTCGTGTTTGTATGAGAGAGTGAGTGAGTTGGGTTTAACGCTGCTTTTAACAGTATTCCAGTTATATCACGGCGTGTCAGCTTAATGTAGGAGGAAAGCCCGAAGTGATGCAGGTCTCAGACGTTTACCACTTCGGTGAAACCCACGAGCACGGGTATGGTGCTGACAAACCTAGAAACATAATTGGGGCGAACCGGGATTTGAACTCACTATCATAGGTTTCTGGCGTGCCCAAAGGGACGCAACTCTGCACAGCGAATCGCGGCGACTTAGCCTGCTGGGCCCCCCGTGCCCCCCGTGTTTGTATGATGTTAATACTGAGCATTTGGCGATCTAATAAGATAGTCTCTAGCCTGTTGAGTAACCCATTCCTTACTCTTGTGGTCACTGTCAATGGAGCTCCCTGGAGATATCTTGCAGAATATATAGGGTCCTATATAGGACATGGTTGATGCTTGTCATCGTATCCCAAGTGCGGCGTTAAACAACAAACAAATACATAAACAAACAAACACTGTCTATGGAACTCCCTGGAAATTCCTGACAGAATATATAGTGTCCTAGTACTACATGCTGCAGTAAGAGGATGGAGTTGTAACAATGTGTGACTTGTCAGACTACCTGTCATCGACTGTGTTATCTATTGTGGGTCGTTGTTTATACTGTCACCCACCGACTTAATTATTCCTACATAGAGCAACATTCACTCACATATTGCACAAGGAGGTTGCACACGCTAGAGAACAGTGAAATACTTTGTGTAGATGGATAATATCTTCAGGGCTGTGCTGAGGGAACAGCCAGCTGTTGGCGTCATGATCTGTGCCAAGATATGGTAGGTCAAACGCGGAGCATTGTATGAGTGGAATATACATTCTAGATTCGTATATCTTTTGTTCACTAATATTCTTCTTTGTAGGATTAGAAGAAAAAGATTGTATAATTTGTTGATCTGTTTAAGGTTTGAGCTTTGTGGTAGCAGTGAGTTTGTGAATGTCGTACCCAGTATGTGAGGTGGATCATGTACATATCATCCTAGTACAGTACAGTAGCCACATTCAAGATTGAGATAAAGAGGATCTGGGTTCCGGACAGTTGTTACAGGTGGGTTCAGTTATTTAAGGATTGTCTGTGTATTATTGTACTGTGAACAGGCAACACACCCTTATAAGCAAACTTAAGTCTCTACCGACAACCACATGCCCTGGACATCTTGTGTAAAAGTCTCCAATTGTTAGGTGTGGAAACAATTTAAACAAGCAAACTGAAAACCTACATTATTTTACTCAACGCTATGTCAGAGATGATGTTCTTGCATTCGTGCCTCAGAGAAATTCCGTCCAAAAGTCAACGGTTCGCCTATTGGTGTAGGTCCACTCTATGTAGAAAACTCGCGATTCTGCGACTTAACAATTTACGTTTCAACTAACAGTCATGTTGCATTCACAGAAAGAAATCAGCATCATCTTTGATCCTTACATCGTTTATATTCATCCGATCCTCAACATACACTATACTACCAGACTGGAACTCAGAAACCCCTCGTGTCGGTTATTGCTTACCTGTATTGTTGTTAAGTACTTTTTTTTATTTAACGTTTTAGTCAATCGGAAATCGAGTTACGGTTACTCTCGAATCGATGTTACATGGAAGGAAAGCCTAGAGGGATGCAGGTCTCAGATGTTTACCACCTACGTGAAACCCACGAACATGAATGAGTATGGTGCTGACAAACCTAGAAATCAGGGCTAACCAGGATTGGAACTGACGATCAGATTTCAGGTGTGCCGTCGGGACGCAACACTGCACAGCAAATTGCGGCGCCTTAGACGATTGGGCAACCCCTGCCCCATCAAGTAAAGGAAACAACGTAGAAACAATCGTACAAGTACGTGATGATTAAGAAACGTTCACTTTTATACTAAAGCTTCCCAATCTACATGGGCATGTATATTTAAGAACATAAGCGATTCACGCCGTACACTTATTTGCTTCAGAACTAGCCAGCTCTTCCTCAGATTCTTGCATCCCTCTCTTGACTGTTTATCGTTGGGTCGAATCCCAGATTCGCCTTGATAATGATCTTTGGTTTGTCTCAACCATATCTGTGCTCATGGTTTCAGGTTGTAAACATATACACCTGCATAACTGTGGACATTGCTACCGCATTGAACTGACACGTCGTGTTTCACCCGAAATACTGTCAAAAGCAGCGTAAAGACCATCTCACTCACTCACTCTCACTTGACCGGACTGTAACACTCCCACCTTGTCCTCTGGTCATTGTTAACTACGAACACTGCTGTACAGCGTCATGTGTTTTTCTATGACAGCTGGCCTCGTATTTCAGTTGACGTCTAACTCCAAAAAACAGATGTCTTGTTCTTGATAGAGTGCCAAGGTTCAGACTTGTGTCTCCGTTCTAAAGCACAACTTCTGTTTATCTTGTCGCCATTGGATTCCCGCACAACACCAAGACTATATAAAGTCCACTTGGCGTCGATGACGCTACACCAACAAACAAGCATGAAGTATCTCGCTCTTCTCCTGATCGTCGCCGTCTTCACCCTCAACACTGGTAAGCAGCTCAGGGAAAAGTGAGGAAGAGAGTGAGTGAGTTGGGTTTAACGCCGCTTTGAGCAGTGGTTCAAATACAGCATGGCGTGTCAGTGTAATGCGAGTATGTTATTGGAGTTGGGGTGACTAAAGTGACGCAGATGTTAGAAAATGTCACTTTGTTTGCCATACGATAACGCTTGTTGTGCTGACAGTCCAAAGATCAAAATCATGGCGAATCTGGGATCCTGACTCACGATCAAGGGACGGAACCCTGCATCCGTGCCATTATCTCATTGAATAACCACTCAGGCAAGGTCAAGGTTTGATAACCTTCTTTTTAGTAGAATTCATTCAAAACTAATGCAAGCTTGAACTGATTCGGTTCAAATTGGAAAGACGTTTGAAATAAGCAACAACTTTGACATAATTAAAGCATATATCTGAGAAAAAAACCCACTAAAATAAAATTGTTTTGGTATGAAATCATGTTAACATTTTCACATGTGGTCTGCCTCATTGGTCGTCAAACTGAGCCCGACTGCACTAATCTGTCATCTTCCCTAGAAAAACGGCGCCTTTGACTCACTAACTCTTTCACTGAGTATTTGTAGGCGAGGTGAGCGGCCAGCAGTGTGCGGGTGCCTGCAAGAACGAGGCACATGGTGGACACGACTTCTGCATTGCCCAGTGTGCTTCCTGTACACATGGAGCCCATTGTGACCATCACAATGACGTTTGTATCTGTCAACAGTGAGTCTCCTACCGGCCACGCTCTCCTTACTCTCCGTATACGTGTCACACTCACTATTCCACTCTGTCCGTCTGTCTGTCTCACCGTCTTCTGTCTCCCCTTTCCCCCCTGACAACTCTTGCTTTCTCCTTCTCCCTCTCTCTAAATTCCCCCTCTCACCATCCCCTATGCAGTTATACCAACCTGGTATTTATCATATGCATGAACTGTCCACTATATGTGTACTGTTATATCTACAACATATTCCCCGTGTGTATGTACTGATATATCTACAAGACACCTGCTGTATTTTTGACGTAAACATGAAGGGATATCCACTACCTGAGTTAGAGAAGGACATGCTTGACATTTACTCGAACACCTGGTGTCTTCCCTGGTTTGCAGTGATCTTGCCTACTACACCTGATAGAATCTGTTAGAAAATAATAGAATCTGAAGAAAATCGAGAGTGATTATTCCCTGGCGTTCACGTTAACTTTACATTTGTTGTATTTGTGACATAGACAATGAGGATACCCACTAACTGTTTTTGTTCTGTTATTTCAGTGCTTAGGAATAATCTCCTGGATATGGTTTGGTCTGTCTTCAAAAGCAGGAAATACTTTAATAAACAATATTTTTAAATATCTTTTGTTGTTTTGACTTCAACAAAGAGTGCATTCCTCAGTTACTGATACAGCCTCACGTGGAGGTTATCAACCAGTTGTGCATCTCCTTGAGGACGACGTGGACTTTTTGAGGACGTAAACGTCGGGGGTGTGGTTGGTGGCGTCAATATCCCAAGTTTGTGGAATGTTTGGCTTTTCAAAAAGGGGAATTTTTCGGCATCCGGACACAACTGTGAAACTGGTAGGTTGCAACTGCAATGGGACCTGGGAGTGGCAGGCCGAAGAAATCAAGACTTAGACAAGATCCACTCATTACATTAATAACATTAACAAGCAATAGATTCAAATCTGCTCCTGTTACCAAAATAACATTTCGTACAATAACAGGAAGGTGAATCACAGGCCGCCTGAAAACAAGGCGTCCTGTGAAAAGTGTGACCCCAACATGTTACCATAGCCGGGGTTGACTAGGCAAATCTGGGGACGGTTTGCGTTGCACCATGTTTACAAACAGAACATGTTGGCGACACAGCAGCGAGCCGTATGGCAGAGCAACAGCTCTTGATCATGATCTGTATGGGGGCAGTGGTGACACGATATGGGGCGGTATCACACATGCCAGGCGAACTGATTTGCTTATTGTGAATGGACATTTGACTAGCCAGCGAGTTGTTGAGGTGATTTGCCGTCCTGCCCTTGTTCCATTCGCGAGAACTGCAAGATGAAAATGCCAGACCACATCGTGCCCAGATCGTCACCGATTATCTCCGACGAGGAGGCATACAGACAGCACCCGCCCCCAGCATGAAGTAACTCTTCAGGCGGAATTGAGGGCAATACCAAGTGCAACCATGCGCAAGTTAATCAAGATGTCGTGCATGTGTCGCCCAACATGATGGACACACCAGATATTGATCTACACGCTCGAAATTAATGTTACAGACATCGATCGTCATTACATCTTCTCTATTATTTCATTTAATTCTATTTTTTGTCCGTAGTTGTTTACTCTTCAAAAATAGTTGGGGATAAATAACTTAAAATTTCCAAAACTGTAAGAGATGTCAGTTTCCAGTAATAATTGTATGATATTAATGAACGAATTGGGAACACCGGCAGTGAAGTATGACAGTAGATGTTATGTCCGCCAACGATCTTGAAGGATGATAGTGGTAAGGATTTGGCCACAATTTGGAAACAATGATTCACCCGACCTGGCATACTGCGTATGAGTCTCCTAATGAGGAAGTCTGTCCCACCCCTAATACAGCGCCTGGCCAAATTCAGACAACGTTGTCGTCGGTCTATGACGTTGACGCTCATGTCTCCCTATCATGTCCCACACGTGTTCAATGAGGAGAAGGTCTGGGGTCATGGCATGGTATTCTATGGATGTTGTCCTGCCGGAGGTGAGTTTTGGCGATTCGTGCACCTTTAGCACGGGCGTTGTCGTCCTGAAAGACAAAACGTCGACCCACACGCCTTGCAAACGGGACAACAAAGGATGTCAGTATGTTGTCCTTATTGTACCGTCCAGTGACCCTTCCTTGCACAATATGGAGTGTGATTTGTTCAATCACAGTGATGCCAAGCCTCACCATAACCGATTCACAACCAAATCTGTCATGACGTCTCAGGTTGACATTGGCTCGACGTTCATTTCGACGTCGCCAGACATGACCACGCTTATCAAGGAAGTGCAAATGAATCGGGACTGATCTGAAAGCATGACATGTGACCAGCGACGATTACCCCAGTTTCGACGTTGTCTACAACATTTACTTCTGTTGGCAATAGGACGATTTTTTGCCGTTGAGCATTTAGATTCATTGAGAAATGAATACAACAACACGTGTGGGTCCTAGTACTACATGCTGCATATAGAAGGATGGAGCTGTAACAATGTGTGACTTGTCAGATTATATGTCATCTATTGTTAATTGTTGTTCATGTTCTCACCCATCGGTTTGGCTGACTTAATTATTCCTGTGATACAGCTAGAATCGACCTGACTAGGACATAAAACAACATTCCGTTACTTACTGCACAAGGAGGTTGCACGCGCTAGAGAACAGTGTACTACTTTGTGTAGAGGGATAACATCTTGATCTGTGCCAAGGTATGGTAGGTCACATACGAAGCATTGTATGAATGGAATACACATACTAGGTTCGTAAAATAAAGCATATATCTTTTGTCCACTAAAAGTCTGCTATGTAGGGTTAGAAATAAAATTTGTACAATTTGTTGATCTGTTTAAGGCTGGAGCTTTGGGGTAGCAGTATAGGAGTTTGTGAATGTCGTACACAGTATGTTAGGCGGATATAAACATCATGTACATATCATCCTGGTACAGTAGCCACATTACAAATTCACAATTGGGATAAAGAGAATCTTGGTTCAAGGCAATTGTTACAGGGGGGTTTAGTTATTTAAGGATTGACTGTGTATTTTTTTCGGTTGATTGAGGTATGAATCGAAAAACCGATGTGCAAACTGTATGAATCCGCGTAGCGATGCTTATTATTAAGTTCGACAACGTAAAACATGTTTTATCTACAAGAGTTTAACCAAAAAACAGTTGTATGTATCAAAACAGACAAAATTGACAGATTGATGAAACTCCAGGTGTAGGAATACATACTGTGGCGTGACATGAATCAGGTGATTGTTTAATTTATGCACAAAACTTGACACGCCTACACAGGCAGTAGCCAATCAACGGAGAGTAGGATCAAAACAATGTTCATTGGACCTGTCAATTAAGGCAAGAGGCGAAAAGAACTGCAACAGTCAGACTGTAACGAACCGGAAGAAATATGCCCAGGAGAAGGCGGCTGTTTCAAATAACATGGTCAGTTACCGCCAAATTCAAACATTACTTCCCTGATTACGGTAAAATACAGTTTGAAAAATGCTAGTTAGAAAAGAAAACCGGAAGACATGAAAGTTGAACCGAGGCGAGCGGGAAAAAATCAGGCGAGCGAGCCTGCACACTTGCTGTTTCATTCATTCTCGGCCTTCGGTTTCAAAGGGTTGTTTGGACAATGAATATGCATGAAAGTCGCTAAATGTCATGTGCATGACGATACACGTGAGCAGAAAGGGAATTCCCTTGACTGTAATATTGTCATTCCCTGACATTCCGCAGTAATAAAAGTAGTGCGCCTCGGTGGGCGTGGCTTAATTTTGTACATTCATTGGGAAATGAATGCAATAACGCGTGACCAATTTAGCTAATCAGAATGCAGGAATTTCAATGAACACAATGAAAATATAATTATTAGACTGTGAATAGGCACCAGACCGTTATAAGTAAACTGAAGTCTCTCCTGACAACGGCATGGCCTGCACATATTGTGTAAAAGTCTCAAATTGTTAAGTGTGAAAACACTTTGAACCAGCAAACTAAACAGCTACATTATTTCAATGAACGCTGTGTCAGAGATGAATTACTTGCATTCGTGTCTCAGAAAGAACTCCGTCTAAAAGTCAACGGTTCGCCCATGTGTGTAAGTCCTCCCAGATTGAAAACTCGCGATTCTCCAACTTAACAATTTACGTTTCAACTAATAGTCATGTCGCATTCAGAGAAAGAAATCAACTCATCTTTGATCCTCACATCGTAAAAAATGCATCCGACCCTCAACATACACTTTTCTACCAGAGTGGAACTCAGAAACCCCGAAACCGCAATCCTCGTTTCGGTCATTGCTTAATAGCGTTGTTATTTATAACTTTTCCTTATTTAATGTTTTAGTCAGTCGGAAATCGAGACAAGGTTAATCTCATATCGATGTTGTAAATTTCTAACACTCTCTGGGTTCTGGGCGTCTAACCGATCTATTAAAAAACACCCAAGAACTGTCACGTGGCTGCTTATATCGATTTGTGACTCTTCCTCATCTATAACTTTCACTGAATGTCATCACTGCCAATACAATTTACAATTGGGCAATGTCTGGAAGTTTCTGTCTCCATATTCTTTTTATTCCTTTCAGTTGCTTATTACTTGTCAAAGGAAAGCTACTCTAGACAGTGAGATGTCATGTTTGTTGGCGCAACGTTACAATATGCACTTAGATGTCAAACACAGCCACAAAATGAAACAAAGTACAATGTCAGCTATATGTCGGTCAAATCCCAACTGTTTTAAATTTGGAAAAGTGGCCCCAAGCCGCAAGTCTACAAGCAGAGATATGAATACACACCCTTAACGTCCTCGGGCACTGATGATGAGGAACCGTGGGCGGAGAACAGCATTCAGCCATTGCATGATGTAAACGAGTGAGTGAGTGAGTGAGTTGGGTTTAACGCCTCTTTGAATTGTTACAGTATTCCAGTTATATCATCTGCACGCCCAAACCGGATTCATACGTAATTTCTGACCCTAAAGAATAAGGGACTGGTCACGTGACCCCTTTTGGAAACCACACCATGTGTTATAGATATATGGAAAGCTCTTTGAAATGTGCATTAGACAGTTTTACTAAAAGACATCAAAACCACAAAAAATAATGACTTTATAGCAATTGAAGTTATTAAAAAGCGGGGACTTTTAATTGTCTATCAGCAAGCCCTTATACTTCAAGACCAATATAGAATACCCCTAACAGTGTGGCGTCTGCGGAAAGAGCAGACCCTGGGCTGTAATCTCAAAACAGACACAGGAAGGAGAGGGGGAAAAGGAGACAAAAGAGTCAACATAAGAAAGAAAGAACTCCACTTGCATATATATAAGTGTATGCAGGACGTTTCCCCAAGTTCCAAATACAACTTTGAGATATTTTACCTCTCTGACTGCATACCAGAAACTACTCAGTTGACCTATTTCAAGGATTCATCTGGGTACTTCCGACACGATCCTAATTCCAAAACATATTTGTTGTAACGTCCGGCTGTCCTGAGGATATAACATCGTGTGAGTTCAGTGTGAAAGGAAAGCCCAAAGTGATGCAGGTCTCAGATGTTTACCACTTACATGAAACCCATGAACATGAATGTGTATGGTGCTGACAAACCTAGACATCCGGGCTAACAAGGATTGGAACTAACGATCAGGTTTCTGGTGTACCGTCGGGACGCAACGGTAGGCCAAAATCGTTCAAGTGCGTGATGATTAAGACACGTTCACTTTTACACTATAGCTTTCCAATCTACCTGAACATGTATATCAAAGAACATAAGCGATTCACGCCAAACACTTGCCAACTTCAGAACTAGCCACCTCTTCAGAGTTTTAGATTTCAGACTCCCTCTCTTGACTGTTTATCGTGGGTTCGAATCCCAGATTCGCCTTGATAATGATCTTTGGTTTGTCCCAACCATATCTGTGCTCATGGTTTCAGGTCGGAAACATATACTACTGCATACCTGTGGACATTACTACCATATTGAACTGACACGTCGTGTTTTAACTGAAACACTTTCAAAAGCAGCGTAAAGACCATCTCACTCACTCATTCACCCTTGACCGGACTGTAACACTCCCATCTTGTCCGCTGGCCTTTGTTAACTACGAACACTGCTGTACAGCGTCATGTGTTTTTCTATGACAGGTAGCCTCGTATTTCAGTTGACGTCCAACTCCAAAAACCAGATGTCTTGTTCTTGATAGAGTGCCAAGGTTCAGACTTGTGTCTCCGTTCTAAAGCACAACTTCTGTTTATCTTGCCGCCATTGCATTCCCACACGACACCGCGACTATATAAAGTGCACTTGCCGTCCATGACGCTACACCCACAAACAAGCATGAAGTTTCTCGCTCTTCTCCTGATCGTCGCCGTCTTCACCCTCAACACTGGTAAGCAGCTCAGGGAAAAGTGAGTGAGTGAGTGAGTGAGTTGGGTTTAACGCCGCTTTAAGCAACGTTTCACATACATCATGGCGTTTCAGCTTAATGTGTGTGTGTGTGTGTGTGTGTGTGTGTGCGCGCGCGAGCGTGTGTAGCTGTGTGTGTTGACATGTGAACGTGTGTTATGTGGGTCGGAGTGACTAAAGTCACGCAGATGTTAGACATTTGTTACCTTCAAGTTGTTTAAACCCTCGATCACGGTTGTTGTGCTGTCAGTCCAAAGATCAAATCATGGCCAATCTGGGATCCGGACTCGCAATTGTAGAATTCATTCAAAACTAATGGAAGCTCGAGCTGATTTGATTTCGGTCTTAACATTTTTGATCGTTTTTGAAAGTTGACACTGACGGTTAACGGTTGCATTTAACAGATGCGATCATCTTAATTACACCAAGGTTCAGTTTGGAAAGACGTTTGAAATAAGCTACTTTCAACCAGTAACAGCTTTTCTTTTAACTTTGACATAACTAAAGCATACATCTTAAAAACACTAAAATATAATTGTTTTGTATGAAATCATGTTAAACATTTTCACAAGTGGTCGTGAGACTGAGCCTGACTGCACTGATCGGTCATCTTCCCTAATACCACGGCGCCTTTGACTCACTAACTCTTTCACTGACTATTTGTAGGCGAGGTGAGCGGCCAGCAGTGTGCGGGTGCCTGCAAGAACGAGGCACATGGTGGACACGACTTCTGCATTGCCCAGTGCTCTTCCTGTACACATGGAGCCCATTGTGACCATCACAATGACGTTTGTATCTGTCAACAGTGAGTCTCCTACTGGCATCGTTCTCCTTACTCTCCGTACACCTGTCACACTATTCCCTTCTGTCCGTCTGTCTGATCGTCTTTCTCTCTTCACTTCTACCCCTCTGACAACTCTCTCCGCGCTATGGACTGTTATACCCACATGGTATTTATCACATGTGTGTACTGTTATATCTTCATCATATTTTTCATGAGTATGTACTGTAATATCACCAGCTGTATGCGTGACATATCCATGAGGGGATATCCATCAACTGTTTTAGAGTGAGTGAGTGAGTTGGGTTTTACGCCGCTTTTAACAGTATTCCAGTTATATTACGGCGTGTCAGCTTAATGTGGGAGGAAAGCCCGAGGTGATGCAGGTCTCAGACGTTTACCATTTCGGTGGAACTCACGAGCACGGGTATGGTGCTGACAAACCTAGAAACATAATCGGGGCGAACCGGGATTCGAACCCACAATCATAGGTTTCTGGCGTGCCCAAGGGACGCAACCCTGCACAGCGAATCGCGGCGCCTTAGACGACTGGGCCACCCGTGCCCCAAACAGTTTTAGAGAAGGACATGGATGACAGTTTCTCGAACACCTGTTGTCTTCACTGATTTTTAGTGATCTTCTGATATGATTTTACCTGTTACACCACACAGGGTCTGTATCCCACTAACTGTTTTTGTTGTTATTTCAGCGCATAGGAATGATCTCCTGGGAATGGTTTGGTCTGTCAGCCAAATGCAGGTCAAATACAGCAAATACTTTAATAAACAACATTTTTAAATATATTTTGTTGTTTTGACTTCAACAAAGCGTGCATTCCTCACTTACTGATACAGCCTCACGTGGAGGTTATCAACCAGGTGTGCATCTTGAGGACGTGAACGAGGAACACGTGCTGTGCAATTGTTCAATGGACACGTAAGGAATTATCACGTCACTCTTATCATTAATCAGTATATGTGGTTGGAGAGTATAGCGACGTATATATATATATATATATATATGTGTGTGTGTGTGTGTGTGTGTGTGTGTGTGTGTGTGTGTGTGTGTGTGTGTGTGTGTGTACTAGTCCGGACTAATGCCGATTTTATTGTGCTAGCCCACTGAGATACCACGCCGCAGTTTAACAGGGACACTCCACCCAGACACAGTATACTGTCTCCGAGCCGTCCAGTCCTTATTTTAGCCCCTTAATGATGAGCGCCAGGCAGGGTAACATCAAGTACCATCTTTTAACGTCTTTTGATATGACGCGGCCGGGGATCGAGCTCCGCGTTGACGCTTTACGACTAGACCACGGAGGCAGTCTACTGTCACGTGAAAATCATACAGTACAGTGACGTCACATCATACCATGCTGCCACCCATTATTTCGACAATTATCACAAAGTGGTTGGACAAAGAATTGATCATCAGTGACCTGTTTGTCACACGAGGATTAGGCTCAGTGACTTGGATGATAACGTGAAACATGTACGTGCCCCGACGATTGTTGCCCATGACATCTATCACTGGATTGTCTGGTCCAGGTTCGATTATTTACAGTTCGTCATGTAGCCAGAATATTGCTCAAAGTGGCGTTAGGCAACAAACAAACAAACAAACCTCTAATCATTGTGCTTAAAGAATTACTCAGCTGAATATTACTTCTTTCATATGATATTAGAAACAGGGGGCACGGGTGTCCCAGTCGTCTAAGGCGCGCGATTCGCTGTGCAGAGTTGCGTCCCTTGGGCACGCCAGATACCTATGATTGTGGGTTCGAATCCCGGTTCGCCCCGATTATGTTTCTAGGTTTGTCAGCACCATACCCGTGCTCGTGGGTTTCACCGAAGTTGTAAACGTCTGAGACCTGCATCACTTCGGGCTTTCCTCCCACATTAAGCTGACACGCCGCGATATAACTGGAATACTGTTAAAAGCGGCGTTAAACCAAACTCACTCACTCACTGATATTAGCATCATAGTTTATCCCAACCAATCCGAGACTGTTTTATCTCGCAGTTTTACCGACAGCCTCGATTTTCTAAGGAATGATATCTCCATTGGATTATAATCAACATGTGTCGTGATTGAATTGAAATTAAAACACTGGATAATCGAATATCTATCCCTAATATTATGAAGATATATCACACCATATAATTGAGGGAGGCAGTGGCTGGGCACAGGTATTCCCACGCTATATACTACTCAAAAGAAGCTAAAGAACGCCTTAGTATGGCTATAGTTAATATGTCATGGCACGGCTGAATTACTATATTGATATGAAAGAATCAGGTGTTTTTTAACCGTTTTATTTTTAAAAACACAGCTGGAATAGTGCTGACTATGATGTAAGCAAGTTTCATTCACTGCACGAGAAGGTTTACAGACAGGGACTTTTTTTACATTCCAAGATAAAAGTGTGGTACTTTGATAGTTTTGAAAACTTTGCCTTGGGAGATAAGTTTATGTGAGCTGTGTTGAGGGAACAGTCAGCTGTTTGTGTCATGATCTGTGCCTAGGTCTGCTATGTCAAATGTGATGCATTGTGGGAACTGGAGTGGATGTCACAGGTGACGCTCTTTCTAAATCCTTACCAATAAATTACGCATCATAGGCGCGTGGACTATAGCATATTTATATTGTTCACTAATATTCTGCTATATTGGGTAGCAAAATAGGAGTTTGTGAATGTCGTACCCAGTATGTGAGGCAAATACAATTGTAGTACGTAGCCACATTAAACATTGGGGTGTGGATTTTGGGGTTGGGAGCGTCAAAATCCAAAGTTTCCCGAATGTTTGGCAAATGAAAAAGTGTAATTTCTCTACTGTGGATCACGTACCGTGTAACTGGTGTGGTTGCAATTGCAATGGGACCTGGGCGTTGGTTCTAAGAAAACGAGACTTAGACAAGATTGACTTCTTATATTAATTGCTAATTAATAGATTCAAATCTGCTCCTGTTATCAATAGAGAATTCCGTACAATAACGGGAAGGCGAATCCCACTTACCAGCAAGTGTCCAATAGGAGGAAGATCTGGGGGCAAAGCTGGCCATGATATTCTATGGATGTTGTGCTGCTGGATGTGAACATTAACGATTCGTGCACGGTGAACACGGAGTTTGTTGTCCTGAAAGACAAAATGTCAACCAACAAGCCATGCAAACAGGACAACAAAGTGTATCAGTAGTACCGTCCAGTGACCCTTCCTTACACAGTTTGGAGCGGGATTCGCTCAGTCACAGTGATGCCACCTCACACCATAACCGATACACCGCCACATATGTCATGAGGTGTTAGGTTGACATTGGCTTGAGGTGATGGTGAGGTGAAATTGGGTTTAACGTCGCGTCCAAGATTATTGCACTTATATAGCGACGTGCATGCACGTGTATGTGTGTGTGTGTGGCTGCTTGTACTAGTCCGGACTGATGCCGATTTATAGTGCTAGCTCACTGAGATACCATGCCGCAGTTTAACATGAATACCCCATTCAGACACAGTATACTTACTCCGAGCCGACCAGTCCTTGTTTTAGCCCCTTAATGCCGAGCGCCAGACAGGGTAACAACAAGTACAATCTTTTAACGTCTTTTTGTATGACGCGGCCCGGGATCGAACCCTGGACCTTCCGCTCTTCGGGCGGACGCTCTACCACAAGACCACGGAGGCGGTGACATTGGCTTGACGTTTGGCTCACTAAAGGCTTTATCAGATACCATTAAACTGTATACGTCTGCATTCCAGCATCCAGTACGCAGAAACAGCATATGGAAATTGCGTGCACTGAATGAGCTCTTGATCGTCGAACACAATCCCTGAGATTCCTGCGTGGGGTCATAGAAACCACGGAGTCGAACAAATAGTTGACGCTGTCCTTGTCAGGATGCTAAGGGAAAATATGGCACAAGATTAGGTCATGATGGGGAATAAAGACATGATCCCGTTTTTACTATAAACTTCCAAACTACAATTTATTGAAATAACATAGGAGATTTACACCTGAGAACTTGCCACCTCTCTAGATATCAGACGCCCCTTTTTATGTTTGTTGGGGGCACGGGTGGCCCAGTCGTCTAAGGCGCCGCGATTCGTTGTGCAGAGTTGCGTCCCTTGGGCACGCCAAAAACCCATGATTGTGGGTTCGAATCTCGGTTATGTTTCTAGGTTTGTCAGCACCATACCCGTGCTCGTGGGTTTCACCGAAGTGGTAAAGGTCTGAGACCTGCATCACTTCCGGCTTTCCTCCCACATTAAGCTGACATGCTGTGGAATACTGTTAAAAGCGGCGTTAAACCCAACTCTCTAACTCACGTTTATGTTTGGTGATTGTGGGTTCGAATACCGGATTCGCCTTGATAATGATCCTCGGTTTGTCAAAAGCATATGCTCATGGTTTTCACCAAAATTATAAAAATATGCAACCTGTGTAACAATAATATTCCTACCACATTGAACTGACACTTCGTTGTTTCACTGAAATACTGTAAAACCATCACACTTAACTCACTTTTGACTGGTCATGTCACATTATACATTTATAGTCTTATCACTGTTAACTACGGACACTGTTGTATCTCGTTATGTACTTTGAATATGCCAGTTAGCCTTGTATCGCGGTTGACTTTTAACCCAAATGAAAAATAAACATCTGCTTCATGTTCTTGATAGAGTGCCATTTTTCAGACTTGTGTCTCCGTTCTAAAGCACACCTTCTGATTATCTTGCTGCCATTGCATTCCCACACGACATCACGACTATATAAAGTGCACTTGCCGTCCAGGACGCTACACCAACAAACAAGCATGAAGTTTCTCGCTCTTCTCCTGATCGTCGCCGTCTTCACCCTCAACACTGGTAAGCAGCTCAGGGAAAAGTGAGTGAATGAGTGAGTGAGTTGGGTTAAACGCCGCTTTGACCAACGTTTCAGATACATCATGGCGTTTTAGCTTAATGTGTGTGTGTGTTCGTGCGTGCGTGCGTGCGTCTGTGTGTACGTGTGTACATGTGTTTGTGTGTAGGTGCAAATGTGTACGCGCGCGCGCGCTCGTGTGTGTGTGTGTGTGTGTGTGTGTGTGTGTGTGTGTGTGTGTGTGTGTATTATGGGGTTTTTTGGTGACTTAAGTGACGCAGATGTAAGACATTGTCATTTTTTGGGTGCCACGAGCGAAGGCGAGGATAAATATCATTGCCACACTGTGATACAAACTCACGATCAAGGGACTCGACCGTGCCCCTATCATATTGAAAAACAGTTCAAGGCCTATCTGTAAAGGTTCGAAGACGGTTGTAGAAGTAATTTAGAACTATTGATTCAATGAAGGTCTGAACATGTTTGCCCGTTTTCAAAAGATCACACTGTGGGTCAACCTCTGCATTAACAGATGCGATCATTAAACTACAACCGATAGTGTTTCTTGAATTGAATAGCCACCCTTTCGGCCTCTAAAACGCTCCTATGGCATTTCAGCAAACCACTTCAGGCACTCAAAGAAATGAATTGGCGTTACATGTTAATATATGTAGATGCAATCATAATTATTTCTAAAACGTTTTCAGAACCTTTGAATCACCTCAAGACAATATTCCAAAAGATCAAAGAAGCAAGACTCACACTATGTCCAAGGAAATGTAAATTCGCGACAAAACCAGTCACCTACTTAGGGTATAACGTCAGCAATGGTGGCATCCATGTGGATCCTTCAAAAATAGATTCAGTCACACAGATCCCACCCCCTAAAAATGTCCTTGACATGCATCATTTCTTAGGTTTGGCTTCAGATTATCGCAAATGTGTAGGACACGTTTCTGGCATTGCCCAAGCTATATACAACCTTCCGAAAAATGCGTCTTTCGAATGGTCCAACAATTGCCAACAGGCAATCGAAAAGCTAAAGCAAGCCATTACAACAGCCCCATCCATTTCCCAACCAAAACAAACCCTTCATCTTCACAACTGATGCATCTAAAACTGCAAGGGGGTACATTTAAGGCCAATGTGATTCTCATGGCATAACTTGTAATGATGTTGTTAATTCATGTCTTTTGTCAATACAAGTATCTTCCTTGACAATGGACCTGTTCTGTTTTAAGGAACAAACAATGTTGGTTGTTAACAATTCTTCTGCTCGTCAGAGTAGGTTATTGCAATAAACTATTTTTATTTTTATGTATGTTAATGTTGTATTTCTTTTCCAAGTAAGTGTAAATGATGCTTTATGCTCATTTCACATCAGAGTCAACAACCAGAATACAACACAATGACTTGCATGATATGGCCTCTTGAAATGGAAGATTTGAAATGATTATTGATAAAGAAGGGTCACAGACATATTGTCAAAGATTATGGCTTTGCTCAAGCACATGGGTGCGCAGTTTTTTATTTACACAAAATTATAAGCTGGGTTTTTTTTCTTAAAAAAAACGCCGCCCCAACACCATCACCACCCACCCCTAGAAATGTAATGGTCCGCCCCTTAGACGGTTAACCGTATGCCTCATTGGTCGTTAGACTGAGCCTGACTGCACAACTTGACATAATTAAAGCATAAATCTGAAAACACTAAAATATAATTGTTTTGGTATGAAATCATGTTAAACCATTTAACATGTGGTCTGCCTAATTGGTCGTTAGACTGAGCCTGACTGCACTGACTATTTGTAGGCGAGGTGAGCGGCCAGCAGTGTGCGGGCGCATGCAGGAACGAGGCAAATAACTTCTGCGCTACCCAGTGTGCTTCCTGTGCACATGGAGCAACTTGTGACCACACCAGAAACGTCTGTACCTGTTAACAGTGAGTCTCCTACTGACCACGTTCTCCTTACTCTCCGTATACCTGTCACACTCACTATTCCACTGTATATCTATTCTTTCCCTCTTGTCCTCCCTATCTCCCATTCTCTGACGCCTCACTCAATTTCCTCTTTCGCCCCTTATACCGTTATATCTACATCATATTCCCCGTGTGTACGTGCTGTTATATCCTGATCATATTCCCCGTGTGCATGTTCTGTTATATCCTGATCATATTCCCCGTGTGTATGTACTGTTATATCCTGATCATATTCCCCGTGTGTATGTACTGTTATATCCTGATCATATTCCCCGTGTGTACGTACTGTTATATCCTGATCATATCCCCCGTGTGTATGTACTGTTATATCCTGATCATATTTCCCGTGTGTATGTACTGATATAGCCTGATCATATCCCCCGTGTGTATGTACTGTTATATCCTGATCATATTCCCCGTGTGTATGTACTGTTATATCCTGATCATATCCCCCGTGTGTATGTACTGTTATATCCTGATCATATTCCCGTGTGTATGTACTGATATATCCTGATCATATTCCCCGTGTGCATGTACTGATATATCCTGATCATATCCCCCGTGTGTATGTACTGATATATCCTGATTATATTCCCCGTGTGTATGTACTGATATCTCCTGATCATATTCCCCGTGTGTATGTACTGATATATCCTGATTATATTCCCCGTGTGTATGTACTGATATATCTACAAACCATCTGCTGTATGTTTGACGTAACCACGAGGGGATATCCACTACCTGTTTTGGAGAAGGACATGCTTGACATTTTCTCGAACACCTGGTATCTTCACTGATTTGCAGTGATCTACATATGATTTTACCTGTTACACCCTATGGAATCTGTTAAAGCAGAAACTCGAGACTGAGTATTCCCTGGCGTTGACGTTTTATCAGTGTCGTATTTGTGACGTAGACAGTGACGATTCCCACTAACTGTTTTTGTTCTGTTATTTCAGCCAATAGAAATGATCTCTTGGATATGGTTTGGTCTGCCTTCGTATGAAGACAATACTTTAATAAACAAACAAAATGTGAATATGTCTTGTGGTATAAATTTCAACAAAGATACAGCCATCACGTGAGTAACATGCAGTACAGTGACGTCACACCATAGAACCATAATGCTTTCCATACTTGATCTACTTTTACGAAACTATGGGGCTGATTTCTTCACACGACTGCACGTCTATTCTCTGTAATTATCAATACTTTTGGGTCGATGATGATTGTTAAAACAAATAATTGTTTACTGCATGTCTTGTAAATATATTAAGCAGTTTTTTTACTCGTGTTTGAGCGTTACAGTGCATACAATTAGGCTTATATAAGTGCACTACATAGTTTATCCCAACAAGCCCAGACGTTTGTTTGCACTCGCAGTTTTACCACAGCAGCCAATCCTCGATTATTGAAAATATTATATCCCTTTGATTGTAATATTGGTCCCAAAAGGAAATACATAGTACTACACTGGATAATCGAAAATGCATCACAATAGAATGAAGATATAACACACTGGATAATCGAGGTCGCCAATCAGCATGTCTATATAGCGTACCTTCTTCCCGAGGCAAGGGAGTTAACTGACAAAAGTCCCGTTTCCAAGATTGCCGAAATACGCTGGTATTTCTGGGCTCGGTCGTATGGCCAACAATCATTTGCTTAAACAAAAGGACGGCGAATCATTTCAGCAATTTGATGAAACATGAAAAGATCTGGAAAATATCTGTCGACGCCCAGTGGACGGTATACATGCTTTGCAAATCCTTCAATTGATCGGGGGCGGTCGGGTAGCCTAGTAGTTAAAGCGTCCGCTCGTCACGCCGAAGTCCCGGGTTCGAACTCTGGTGTCCCCCCCGTGATATTGCTGAAATATTGCTAAAAGCGGCGTAATTGATCGAAATCTGCATGTTGAAATCCACGTAGTTTACAAACCGAATGTCTAGTTCTATGCGTGATTTTGATTGGTCTATTGCCAGACTCGTTAGTTCAGCCAAAATGTAATTCCAGAATGCCAGCCTAGTTCGGCAAATACGGAAACTGGATTTTTACAGTCGGTTAGCTCTCTTGCCTCGGGAAGATGGTAGCGGACATACAGTGTCTGAGTCCCGTGATAGGATTCGAACTACGGACCTTCTATTCCGAGGTTGGACGCCTTATCAACATGACCAAAAAGGTAAACCTTGTCAAGCAAGCTGACAAAGTAAGGATGCCATCTGTTCAATGACTTCATGCCCTACATCTACATGCGTCATGCTGTTGCTCTATGGCAATAACAACACTCACCTACATGTGTAAATAAACTTAGACTTGAATGTAGGTTGGTGCTGCCAGTACTATATAACAGCGACACGAGCGTCTTTGGCCTCGTGCGGTGTAGCGGGTCAACGCATGAGCGTGTACGTCGAAACGTCTAATCCCCTGTCACACCTGCTAGGATTAATGGAGAGACAAACGCTAGTATCTCCGTCGCTAGGTGGTTTTTTGTATAGCGTTGGGATAGCTTCGGCCCGTGTTTGTCAGTTTGGGGTTCAGCTCCGGTATCTTGAGCATAGTTATTCCTACTGCGTATAGGTTCCTGCCAGGAGCATCTGTGATGTGGACGAGAGATAAAAGGTCGTGACAACAATGACTCGGAACAAGCAAAGAAACTCAAGAACAAAACACACTTGATGAGGTACTTCTTCAAATGACATTGGCGATCTCCAGCTGGCGTACATACGACGAAGAGATTGTCAACAGAAAAACGGCAAGGTCATCTGGCATTCATAGAGAGAACGGTCGATGTAGGTCTGTCTTAAGCAGTCGACTATATCCTGTAACGTTCATGTAAGAGAGTCAACTATATCATTTAACGCCCATGACTGTCTAAGTCAACTATATCCCAATTGGCAATTTAGACAGGTCGACGCCATAGGGATATGCAAGGGGCTACCACCAAGGCCATATGTTGATTTGAACAGGTCTTCACCACAGAATATGTCGAATAGAACAGGTCGCCACCACATAAACTTTTCGATTTGAAAAATATCGTTCCACAGCGATATAGCGCGATCAAAACGTCGCTGCGACAGCCATATGGCGATTTGAGAAGGTCACAAACACAGCGATATGGCAATTTGAACAGGTCGCCACCAAGGCGATATGGCGATGTAAAGAAGGCAATTGCAACGCCACAGTTCTATGACGATTTGGACAGGTCGCCGCCAAAGGCTTATAAGGATACTGACTTAAAACCTTATAAGAAGTACGTCTGAAAATCAAAAAGGCATCATACATTTCTGCAAATCTCCGACGTTAGAACTTGGAAGTTAAACGCCGTAAATGAATCCGATTAATTCGGCATTAGTGAGGTTGACTTGGTTCTGTATGGTTCCGTAACGTTCAGGCACGCCTAACATCTAATATAACGTTACTTTATTCTGTAAAGCGACAAATGGATTTACACAAGAGTTAATCTGCTCATTTCGACAATGAGCAATTGCCCTGTATTCTGGTGGAGGTATAAAGGTCTTGATCCCGTTCGACCAATTAGTACACGTATACAGAAAGACTGAACTTTTCACCTTTATTTCCTTCACATGCCTATTATAAAGACGAGTTTGTATTACGCCTGGTATGCTGTTTTGTGACCAGGCCCGCTATGCATGTCAATTATGTCCCTCAATTGACATGTATGCGCATGTGTGCGTAGGACCGACTCCAAGTGTGCTAATTGGTTGAAGTGTAAAAGGGTTGTTCACAAATGGTGTTCAACTGTTATATGTTATGACTGGGTGAAATGAGCTTAACACATGCAAGCACACGGCGACCAGATTGACATTTCCAATACAACGCAGGGGCCTTATGTGGAAGTCGTTTTCCATAAATTTAACACCGAGGGCACTAGAGTCCAAGGTAAACGTTGGTGTTCTACCGGATACTTCTGGTATTGAGAACACAAGTCCGCCTGTGGGGCCACACCGTTTATTCTCTAATAGTATGCTGCTACATCATATCCTTACAGTTAGACTCTGGGGGATCAAGTTTCTGCTCAGCGTCTTGGGTCCCCCACATTTGGGGAACCTATTTTGTTTGGCTTCGCATAGCTTGTGGCTAAACACTGGGTAGTGTGGCTGGGTGGTCAAATAAAGAATATAAAAAAATATATTAACATACTTGTTATTTAAACTTTTTCTGAAAGTTATTGGGCAGCAAGGGACATAGGACACAGACAAACACACATCCCTCATCATTTCAGAAGGATGTGGGGGCACGGGTGGCCCAGTCGTCTAAGGTGCCGCGATTCGCTGTGCAGAGTTGCGTCCCTTGCAAAACTTTTGATTTCTGGGTTCGAATCCCGGTTCGCTCCGATTATGTTTCTAGGTTTGTCAGCACCATACCCGTGCTCGTGAGTTTCACCGAAGTGGTAAACGTCTGAGACCTGCATCACTTCGGGCTTTCCTCCCACATTAAGCTGACACGCCGCGATGTAACTGGAATACTGTTAAAAGCGGCGTTAAACCCAACTCACTCACTCACTCAATTCAATAGGTTCTCATTCTATATCTCTATTCCTTATCGGCAAATTTTCAGATGAAATTATAATTTAATGGACCACGTAACGGTATTCAGTTACAGCAGGTAGAATAGTTGGCGGGCTAATTAATGAACGGCCCGGCAATTACACAACATATACACTTGCACTCTCCCAAGAGCGGGTAGGTTTTTAACAAAACAACAGTTGTTAACCTGACCGTCTCCGTGGCTCAGTGGATGAAGCGTCTCCGGGGAGCGGAAGGTCGATGGTTCGATCCCCGGCAGCGTCATACCAAAAGATATTAAAAAGACGGTACTTGATGCTACCCTGCCTGGCGCTCGGCATTAAGGGGATTAAACTAGTACACACAGGTGTATGTACGTCGCTGTACAAGTGCAATATTCTTGAAGTGAAAAATCTCACCAGTTGTTAACCAAAAGCTAAAACATCAAATTTAGCTACCCGACCACCCTGATAATGTCTCCACCCAGGGTGACTTCTGAGCTACCCGACCACCCTGATAATGTCTCACCAAGTCGTAGCCGTTTAACAAAGCAACCATAATACTTTAGCATAAACGTACGGTACTCGTAGCACTGGAGTCGCTTTCAGGAATGGAACCCCTTTTCAACAACGATTATACGACCACCTCAACGCCGACACACGACAGTCGCAGCGCTAAGATCTCATGTAGTGTATAGGGCCCTTATCACCACTAACGAGGACCGATGTACTTCTATTAAAGCAGACTAATATATTCCGATCTCTCCCTGGCGCTTTTTAAAACCCTTTGAAGTGAGAAAGTAACCGTTATGTGTCATCCCAGTCAATATGGCTTTAACATTAGATATTGTACTACACTGATCAGCAGATCCCGCTGTCAACATTCTTCTCACGCGGCTTGGGGAGGCTCCGTGTGGTAGACACACTATAGGGCACCTGTGGTATTCGGGGGTATTCTTAGTCGCATTGAAGAGCGATTAGCGTCACATAATAGCATTCACTACTATGACAAATTGGCTTAGATTAAAGCTACAGAGGGTCCACTGTACGCTGGCTCCTATAAACGCTTAAACTTCTCACAACTAGGCGTCAAGTCCAACAGTATCGATTACCAGATGACAAAAGTAATGGTTACCGTGCACATGTTGGCGAGAGGTACTGTTGCAGTCTCCACCGAAACTTACAAGCGTTGATACCATGTGCAAACTGCCTCAAGTAGGCAGGCATGTAAGTGATTTATGCACGATTTGTGCAGCTAGGTTATGGAATAGGACCTGTTGACAGGACTGACAGGAGGGTGGGTAGATCGGTAGTCGCCCTGGATGGAGCCGTTATCAGGGTGGTCGGGTAGCTCTGTAGTCTTTTTGGGTGGAGACAATATCAGGGTGGTCGGGTAGATCGGTAGTCACCCTGGGTGGATGGAGACATTATCAGGGTGGTCGGGTTGATCGGTAGTCACCCTGGGTGGATGGAGACATTATCAGGGTGGTCGGGTAGATCGGTAGTCACCCTGG